TAAGATGAGGTGGCTGCAGAGTGTTTTCCAGATCTCCTACATTATTAAAAAAAAAAAAAAGTCATCCAGTTACGGTAGTAGCTAAGTAGAGCGGTTGAACTCTGTGGGTGGACGGGCGTCCTGGGGTGCTGGCACCCACAGCTGTGCTGGAAGCCTGGGCCTGGTTGCCAGACCCCTCCGTCCTGCCTGGTGGAGGGCCCCTCTGCCACCAGCCCCCACCCCTGCCTTTGACTTCTTTTTCATCCTCAGAAGTAAAAGTGTGAGTCATATTTTACTAAGGAGCATAATTCTCCCCTAGTTTAGTGCAAACAGAATTTTACTTAGAGCACAGCAGGTGGGAAGGAGGCCTCTGGCGCACACCGCAGCCCTCCTCCCTGGCTCCGTCCTGCTTGCCCGCCACCATGTCTGGCTCACCGTCTCCGTTCCTCCTGCCTCGGACTTACCCAGTGGGGCAGCGGCCTCCTTGGACCCCCGCACCCCCACATTTCCTGGTATATCGCTGCCTGCGTTGCAGCCTCTGTCCATACCTGGAGCCTTCTCATGGACCCCCGCCTCTGCCACCCGGCCCCCCGCAGTGCTGGGGGAGAACCTCCCCTTCCGGATGGATCTTGTCTGCCCACAGGCTCGCCGCAGGTTGTGTCCTAGTGCCGCGCCCGTCCGGCGTGGCGGGGCGCCCCCTTCAGTGGCGGTGACCGGGAGAATGGGACTAGGTCCCCGCCGTGGCAGCCGCCCGGTACGACACAGGGCCCCGAGGAGCAGCGTTCACTCTGTCAGTCACATTCTGCTCCACACGTGCGCACATCCCAGCCCCGCTGCCTCGGCTGCTGCGTCCCTGCATCTCCACCTTCTCCGGGGAAGGAGCCTCGGGGAGCAGAGCCGGATCTGATGGGTTCACCCGCAGCGGGGAGGGAGGGAGAGAAAACCTCTAGCCCACTCCCACCCGCAGACACGTGGGAGTCGCGCATGTTCAGGAACGCACCGTGGGGCTGGGAGTTTCTGCTCCGGCCCGTGGGACAGGAGAGAGAGGAGGGCGCTTGGCAGCCCTGGGCGGTGAGGTCACATGAGGCTGCCGCGTATGTGTTGACCCAACTCTGCCAAAGGACTACGCTGTTCCTCCCTCCTGGCAAAACGTTTTTCAGATAGCTCTTCGGAAATTTTCCGATTGGAATATTCGAAGTGGCAATTTAATTTTTTGTTACGGTAACACGTACACGAGCAAAGCGGCCGTTCAGACCGTTAGCACAGGGCTCTGATGGTCCGCCGTGCGGTAGGTTCACCTGGACCCCCGCCCGCCTGCCTCGCTCGCTGGTCTTGCACACCTCGGCTCCGTCCCCTCACACACCTGCTCCCCTGCCCCCTCCCGCAGCTGCCGTCCCGGCTGTCTCGGGGAGTCTGATTGTCCAGGTGCCCCATACCCTTGTTTTTCCCTGAGCACGATGTCCCCAAGGTTCATGCCTACTGCAGTGGATGACAGAGTTTACTGCCTTTTTTAGGCCGAGTAACAGTCCACCGGGAGGATGGACCACGGGGTGTGGTTGGCTCAGCTGCCCGCAGACGCTCAGGTTGCTTCCATCTCCTGGATGTTGTGAGGTCCTGCTGCGAGCCGGGGCGTAGCCGTATCTGAGCCCCTGCTCTCAGTTCTTGGGGGCTGTATCCAGAAGCAGAATGATAGCTGGATCCCTGTTTCTGCAAAGCATGGCCATTTCATTTTGTAAATTCCCCCAAGTCTGGCTGACCCATGCTCCTCCCTTCCCAGCTTTTTGTTTTGTTTTGTTTTTGCTATCTTTGGAGTAAATATTTCCAGAAAAGAATTGCTTAAGCTCCTTTATATAACAGATTAGCAAGGACTTTTTTTTTTTTTTAAGTTTTTATTTATGTAATCTCTGCGCCCAGGACCATGAAGCTGAGGAGGCATGCTCCACTGAGTGAGCCGGCCGGACAGCCCCGTCAGGGGAACTTTTTGAACCGATAGCCTGGAGCACCAAATCCAGCGTTGGATTGAGAAGTGCCTGTAGGCGGCACGGTGGCATGCCCGCTTGCTGTCCGCGGGGACAGGACCTGTGTCAAAGGGCAAAGTTCACACTTGTTGTTTTTCTGGAAGGATACACGGTGCTGGTGAGTATACGGGCCTTCCAGCTATTTTAAGGACCGGCTCCCTCAATGACTTACGGGAACGTGGATAGAACAATCAGAGGATGTGGTGTTGTTCTGAGTCCCTCTTTAAAAACAAAAAAGGTTTTCCCATCAGGTGGAAAATAGCAGACAATTCTTGTAGGAACAGTTGGGTCAGAGTCACATTTGTGGATTTAGTCTGACTTTTTGGGAACATTAAGAAGAACCCACCAAGGACTGCTCTGTCTGTTAGCACCACGCCCTAGTTTTGCTTTCCTTCTGGTTGTTGGAGGTGTTTGTGGTTCCCTTATCTGCTTGTGCAGCTTTAGTTCCTGTGCCATATGAGCAATACCATTTCTTGACACATGTGCAGAAATTTATTTTTATTTTTTTTCTTTATTTGAGAGAGAGAGAGAGCAGGATCGGGGGAGCAGCAAAGGGAGGGGGAGAAGCAGGCTCCTCCCTGACCAGAGAGTCCCATGCCGGGCTCCATGCTGGGACCCTGGGATCATGGCCTGAGCCAAAGGCACACGCTTCACCAGGCGTCCCGTGTGCAGAAATTTATGATGAGGCGGCAGTCCTGGGTACAGCCCTCACCGCCATTCAGAAGCATCGTTCCTGTCAGGTTGGAGTGTGAGTTGGAGTCTGATTCAGAAATCGTAAGCCAGGTCACCAGTCTTCACTGCCTGGGCCCAGAGACGCACCCAAGCACCAGGAGCCTCACAAGGGCCTGGCTGTGGGCCTCGGGTGCCGTCCGCCACGGGAGCACACCCAGGTGCATTGTCAGGGCTCTGACCCATATCTGACCGTTGGCACCGAGAGTCTCGGTGTCTTGCCCGCAGCACTACACACATGACAGGAGAAGACCCCTGCCCCTGCAGCCACCCGCTTCGTCACTGAGGCAGGAGGAGACCCGTCGTGTCTGTTCCCGGCAGCACCGGCGGCCCCTGGAACCGGGAAAGGGAGCTGTCCGTTCAGAACCCCCGGGAAGCAAACCGGGCGGGCGCTGGTCTTGTTACGCAGTAGCAGGTTTGAAGTGCATTGTTTGCACAGGAGAAAGCGAGTGGCTGTGGGGAGCCCACATGGTGGCCCTGCCCACGTTTTCCGGGGGAGCCACCTGGCCGCCACGGGCAGCACGGAGCCAGCGGCAGGCGGTGGAGAGAGCAGACGGAGAGCAGAGTGCTTCTCAGTGAGAGTGGGGTAGACCGGCTCTTCCGGTGCGCTCTGCTGACCAGGGTGAGAGTGGCCCGTTCAGCCGGTCCACGGGGAGAGCAAGGCTTGGGACAAGCTGTGGTGTCTCATGCTGGGGAGCCCCTTGGACGGGGGTGTTGCTGTGTCCCTGCCCCAGGTGCACGGACGGCGTATTCCTCTGCGGTCCCTACGCTTGCCTCGTCCTGCGGGAGGGAGTGCGCGCTCTTGACAGCAGAATGAAACGCTTCGTATCTTTTTGCCTCATGGTGAGCAGGGCCGTGATTTACATAATAGGAGTCTTCAGCTTCACATCTCCCTACCTCATGACGAGGTAGGGAAAAGCGCGGCTCCCTGGGAGGCCTGTGGGGAGAGACTTTGCCGAGTAGCTCCCTCGCCCCAAATACCTTCTCCCCTCTGTGCCTCTGGAGCTTTGCCTCCAGTACTGCTGCACTCCGTCAGTGCGTAGATGTGTTCAGGCTGGTATCATCCATGTAGCCACCGTCGGGAGTGACATGAGGGGACGGCCCTCGGCCACTACTAGCCGCGCTGCGTGAATCCACGGTTCAGACGGACCCCTGAGCTTCCCGCCTTGCCCAGCCTTGGCGGCCCTTCCTGGGATGGGAGGTGGCTGTGCGCGAGGCCCCGGCTGGGCCCCTGCCCCCCGGATGAGCACCAAGTCCTGGTGGGGAGTGTGTGAGGGCTTGGGCAGCGGGGGCGTTGAGCACGCTTCCCGCCCCCGCTCTGCTCACCCCTGAGCGGCATCCCATCCGGGCTTTGCTCTGGGTCCCGCACGACAAGCTCTGCTGCTTTGCGCAGTCCCGGGCCTCTCTGTGCGTGTGTTCTCCTCGCTGGCGTGGACGAGACGGTGGCAGTGCTCAGGCCTGCCATCCAGGTCGGTTACAGTGGTGCCTGGCCCGCGCAGAGGCTGGTGGTACCAGGCGGGCTGGTCGCTGTCAGCGCTTGGCCCCCTGGCAGTTCTGGATTCATGGTGATGAGCTCCGTGTGGTGCTTTCCTTGCAAACCCTCGCTGGGACCCGACCCAAAGGAGCCGAGGTCTCAGCTGGGAAGCTGAGGTGGGTGACTTGGGAAAGTGGGGTGGGGTAGGGCCCGGGAGGAGGAAGCAGGAAGGCGCCGTCAGCTAGGTGAGGCCTGGGAGGCGGGGAGGGCATCCAGGGTCTCCGTTCTCTCTGGTTGAGGTCGGGGGCTGGTGCCGAAGGGATGTGGTGCAGCCTCCTCCTTCAGGCCTTCATCCGGCATCTCGCCCAGGTCTCCCCTCACAGGCCCGCGGCTTTGTGTAATAGAGCCAGTGGCAAGGGGAGCCGCAGTGCAGGTTTGGGGGCCTGCGTGGGACCCTGACACCAAGGACGATCTCATTGCCACGGCAGCGTGCTGTTTGCAGACCCCCGAGTCTGTGCCATACGCTTCATGAGCTGGGGATTGTGTGATTTGGGGTTTGTGCATTTAGGCTTCTGGAGGTTCTCGGGATAGTGTGGATTGTTGCTTTGTCCAGTGTGGTCTAAACACAGGATGAGGGCCTCGCTGGTGAGTGTGGGTGCAGCGGTGAGGGACGGACTCCGCCTTGGAAGACAGGGCCAAGGCTTCGGCATGCACCTTCCCTCCCCGCCCTCAGCCTGTCTGTCTCTCTGTGGCCTCGTGACTTCTGGCCTGTGATCTCCAGCACATGTTTCTTGTTGCAGAGTATGGCGTTTGCGAGAACCTGCGGAAGCTGGACATCACGGGCGTGTCTTGTAGAGACGTCTATGCCAAGCGTAAGTGAACCTCTTGCCCGCCACAGCCCCCTTCGTTCCAGAGGCAGACGTAGAGTGAGCACCCGCGACAGGAGTGCGGAGAATGTGACCCACAGCCCGCAGTGGCCTCCCGGACTACGGCGCTGGGAGCAGCAGCCCTCCTACGAGGGCTCTTTCCTCCCATCTCCGGGGGTGTGTCGTCCTTATTTTCAGCCCGTCACATACAGTGGTGTCTCCTGTTAGGTGTGAGAAACTGGCTGCACTGGGGACAAGCCTGGGGAGCTCCAGAGGTTCCTTTTCCTCGATCCTGGGCCCGCAGTCCGAGGGGCACGTGGACAGCAGCTTCACTGGGAAGTGTGGCCGCTTCCGCAGGCTTCCTCGGCCGCCTGGCTGCAGCCCCCCGTCAGGCTCCGCCTTCTGGGGCTCCATCTACCAGGCAACCTCCCAGCCCCACGTTGAGCACTCCAGTCCCCATTTCCTGTTCTCTGCTCGCTGGCTTTTCAGTCACCAGGGACACGCCCCGAGGGCTCCGACTCCCCCCAGCCCCACATGTCTTTCCTCAGTGCCCCTTAGCGTGAGGCTGTGAAGATCTGTTCACACAGACACTGCCCAGGAGCTGTGGCCCGGCACCGACCCGCAGGGAGCAGTGGTGGGTTCACCCCTGGGCGGCGGTCTCATGCGGTCTTAGCTGCCCGGGGCTGGGGATCAAAGGACAGAGTAAGAGATGATGGGGACGATCTTTGGTTAGAGTTGACTGTTCACTGCTCCTAAAAGGACCTTAAGGGGACGCCGGGGGGGCTCAGTCAGTCAAACGTCCGCCTTTGGCTCAGGTCATGATCCTGGGGTCCTGGGATGGAGCCCGGCATTGGGCTCCCTGCTCAGTGGGGAGTCTGCTTCTCCCTCCGTTCATGCTTGCTCTCTCTAAATAAAATCTTTAAAGAAATAAAAAGGACCTTCAAGTTTCATTTTAAAACAGCCTTGGTAGATTTGGGTTTTCACATCTTTGGAAATGTATCCATTGAAAGCAGAGCAGGTGCTGCCCCTTCCCAGATGCCTCACCGGGGGCGGCGGCCGTGGTCTGACTCAGGACTGAGACGGAAGCGGGTCTTTGAGAGCCGCCGCAGTGCTGGCAGCCCCCCAGGATCTGGGGCACGCCAGTCGCTGCCTCTCTCCATGTCCCTGTTCTTAGTGGGTCTGTCACTCAGGCTCGCCCTGAGATGTCCCTCCTTCATGTGGCTGTGGGGGAACACGGCGTTTCCACGTAGGGCTGGCTCTGTGGGGGACGCGGGCCGTGCTCCCTCCTTGGATGTGGCCGGTTTTGCCCCGTCCGAGGCTTCCCTCCACACCATGATCCATGGCAGCTTGGGGCTGTGCGGTGGTTGGTGTTCTGAGGGGACTCGCCCACATTGGGGAGCACGCCTGTCAGCAGGCTGGAGGTTCTTCATGGACCTTCCTCAGGGGAGCTGGTCCGCTCACGACTTGCAGAGCTCGGGGGGGCTCTGCTGTGCCGTCTGACCCACCACCTGCCTTTGGGAGCCCTCTGCCCGGCCACGCCCAGCACCCCGCTTTTCCCTGCCCTCCTGAGGCCTGGGCTTCATCCTTACCCCAGCCGCCACGCCCAGCTTGCAGTTGCCTCCTGAGCCCTGTCCTTGGGCTTGTTCCCCAGTGCAAGGCTGGCAGCTCGGGACCTGCCAGCTCCTCCCCTGTGCTTGCTCAGACTTGCTTCCTTCTCTTGCCTCTGTTCCACGTTCCACCAACCCAGGAAGACACGTCTCTGGGGACACGGGTCTAGGGGGCCCTAGTGGTTATGTGTCCTGATAGCCTGAGCCCTTCCTGTCTTTTCATCTCTGCAGCCAGGCCGGTGCTGCTCTGCGTCCTGCAAAGCCCAGAGTCCAGAGGCAGAAAGCCAGTTCTGCGCCTGCCTCCCGCCCTCCATGCCATGGGCGCCCTCATGGCCTTGGCTCTAGCCTTGGTTCCTCCACGGTTGCCCAGAGCTCAGCTCTTAAATCCGGCCGGAGCGTGGAGCTGGGGGGACTTGATGTGGCTGTCAGCCTTGGTGTTGGAGCAGGACCCGGTTCTGCCCACAACAGTCTCTGTATGCGCACATGAAACTGCTGTCCCGGCTTTCCTGGATGGTCAGCTGGCTTCAGGGTTTTATGACCGGACCTGAGGTCGTTAGGTTTGGGATATCGGGTTGGGTTGGATGTTGGACGATATCACCGGAAAGGCACTTGAAGGCAGAGTTCTCTGCAGGAGCTTAGGAGTTACCGTTCCAAACAGCACCTGGACGAAGGCGGGTACGGACACAGATGTGGGGGCAGATGTGGGAATAAGGCCCCCACGAGCTCAGCTCGGTTATGCTGTCTTATGGAGCACAGGTGGGCAGTGGCCGTGAGCAGCAAGTGGTATGGCCGGGTGTAAGCTGGGGCCGGGGGAGGGACGGCACCAGGGCGAGGGGAGCAAGCTCGCCTGCACGTCTGGATGGCTGGGGGGGACACGGACAGGCGCAGGACTACATCTGGAGATTTCTTTTCATTGCTGAATCTTGACCCCTTAAAAATGGTTTCAAGATCCAGGGAATGATGACCTTTTCCAGTGTCTGGAAGTGTTGAATCTGCCCTGGTCAGAGCCAGCTTCAGTTTTCATGCTCATGCGAGAACTGTGTTCTTGTGAGTCTGCTCTGAACGCCTTATCAAGGAGAAAATTGCTTAGCCTCTGGAACGGGTGGTGGAAGAAAATCAAGGTTGGTTCCTGGCATAGACGGGCTCAGGAGGGAGGGGGCCGGAGTTAGGAGGCCGCAAACATCACCCTTAGAGATAAAACAAACGCAGAGTAGTCAAGGGGAAACGTCAGGTGTGCACCAGCCGAGGGAGAGATCGGAGTCAGATACAGGGTTCCCTAAATGGTCCCCCAAACATCCCCTAGCCACAGCCTTGGCTTCCCACCTCCGTGTGCTCCCTTGATCTGTGGTGGCTGAGAGAGGGTGGTCCCGGGCTTGCCCACCTTCGTGAGTTTCTGGTGTGGCTCCACTGGTTAAAGGAAGACAGGTCACCCCTGGCAAACACTTGCACCCTGAGGTTCTGGGGGCTGAGTGTGCAATGGGAGATGTCCTTCGTCAGTGAGGGAGGGTGTCGAGTCACGGAAACAGACCGTCCTGGAAGCAGAGCCATCTTTACCCTTTCCCTGCTGTGTCTGTTCAGGTATAAACCCTCGCGTGAAGTCGGGACGTTTCATGAAAATTCTTCCCGATTACGAGCACATGGAATACAGAGATGTTTACACCTGCCGTACGTACCTGCTGCTGGCTTTGGCTTTGTGGGCGAGCACGGCCGAGAAGCTGCGTGGAGAGGGGCCTCTAACTCCGGGCACGAGGACTGCTTGGGTGTTTAAAAGCGAGCTGCCCTCCTTGGCTTCTGCTGTTTTCTTACCCTTGCTGTTTTCTGTGGCTTGGCCACAGCTGAGGCCACACCTGAGCCGTGGCTCTGGGTCGGCTGCACACGTGGGCCGGGACTCCGCGGCAGCTTTGGGGTTCTTGGGTAGTACTAGAAAGACCACTCTGTTGGTGCACATTTTAGTATTTATTGTTTATGGGGCTGAGAGGACAGGGTAGAAGCCTTAAAACACTTGTGCTCCAAGATTAAGTGTATGCGGTTTGCTTCTGGATTTCGTTAGTCACGTAATAGCGTATGTGAATTAAAAACACTGGGCAGAAGTGAGCAGAAGCACTTGATTATTTAGAACCTGATTCCCCTCTCCATGGGTGTTCCTTGAGTCTGGAACTTTCCCTGAGCCGTACCCCACACATGTCCACGCTCTTAGGTTGAGCTGAGGCGGAAAGTGAGTATCTGTTGTCACGAAGACATCGCACATCCCTGCTTGTGCTGAAAGGGGTTGTTATGTTCCTGGAAGCACCCGGCCCATTCCCTCATTCCTCCCACCCCTCTGAACCCTCCACGTGTGTTGCCTGCCTGGAGCAGACCCGCTTCTCAGTCTCGTAGACACACAATTTCTATCAAAACCTGTGGGAGCAGAGGAAACCGAGTTGCGCGCGAGATCGCTCCTCACCCCTGTCCGACAGTGGACATGGGACACGCAGCCGAGGTGTGTTTGCTGGTCCTGTGGAGACCATCCCGCTGCCAGGGCCCTGGTTAGCCTGCTTTGGGGGCGCAAGGATGGGGCACAGCTCCTGACCACGCCCACCTTGCTCGCTTCATCAGGCCCAGAGCTGAACGGGGTGGAGACGGGTGACCAGAGGCCTCGTCGGGAGCGTGTCTGAGCGGCGTGAGGAGCTGGCTGGGCTCTCGGGGGCCGGGCGGCTCGGGGCTGGGGCCAGGAGGCACGAATCGTGTCCTTGCTGAGTGCTCTGGGAGGTCGCCTCCAGCGTGTTCCGTCCTGCGTTGACCCACCCTCCCGGTTAGCACCAGTGAGCACAGGTGCCTCATCCAGCCCAGCCTTCCAGAACTGTCTGCGCTGCCTGGCGTGTGAGGCCCTCAGGGCCTGGCACCGTTGTCTCCTGTGCCCACTTGCCCTGTTCCTGGAGCTTTTGAGAACCCGTGTGCCCTGGTCCCCTGGTCCCCTGGTCTCTGCTGACCAGGGAGGCTCGGCAGCCTCAAGCAGACGACACCGTCCGGGGAGAGGCAGGCCGGCCCGTCCAGAGTGAAACTCCGACGAGCTGTGTGGCCCGCGGGAGCCTCGGCTGCTCACTTCTGCGTACTTTGTCCGGCCGCAGGTCGTTGGCTGACAGTTCTGGCCCGTCCGTGTCTTTGAGGGCGCGGGCAGCATCTCGCAGGGAGCGCGTTGTGCCCACGGCACAGCGAACATGTGTCCTCGTGCGTGAACTGAGAGTGGCTGTCTGTGACCACGGGGCTCTGGGTTTCGCGGTTCCCGTCTGGAGCTCTGGCCGTGCCCCAGGTAGCTCTGGGGGTTGGTGGAACATCCGAGGCCACGTTTAGTGCTCGGGTGCAGGTGCCAGGCTGTTAGGCTGCACTGGGAGAGTCTGACCGGAAGGCTAGTCCAGAGTCCAGTGGGCCGGGGTGGGGAGCAGGAACGCACCAGGGGTGTGTGGAAGGGGGAGACCCCTGGGAAGTCTGGAAACAGGAAGGTGCCTGTGGGGGGGCAGGGGCCCCGGCAGGAAGTGCAGCTGGGAGACGGAGCCCACCTGCCCATCACCTGGCTGAAGCCTGGAGCCCGTGGGGTCATCCTCCTGCTCACGCTCTGGATGTTGATTCTGGTCCTGCAGCTTGACGCGGTTCCTGTGTCAGTCCTGTGGGCTTTTCCGCGGGCTTTTCCACCGACGGTGTCACGTCGGCTGCAGACGGCGAAGGACTTACTTCTTTGTTTCCAGTCTGGATGCCGGTTACTGCTTTTTCTGACCGGTTGCTCAGGCCAGGACCTCCAGCACGGTGTGGGCTACAAGGGGCGACAGAGGGCATCCCTGCCTTGTTCCGACCTCAGGGCAAGCTCTTGGCTTTTCCCCGCTGAGTGTGGCGTTAGCGGCGGGTTTCTCACCTGTGGCCTTGTTCCATGGAGGCACAGCCCTTCTCGACCCAGTTTGTGGAGCGTTTCTGTCCTAAGTAGGTACTGGAGTTTTTCAGACGCTCTGCCTGCGTCTGTCGAGGACGTACGATTTCTGTTCTTGATTTTGTTAAGGTGCTGTCACCGCTTGGATGTCTGGATGTTGGACCATTTTTTAATCCCAGGATAAACCCCATCTGATGAATGTCAGTGACCCTTGTAACGGACTCCTGAGTGGGATCTGCTTGTGTTTTGTTGCGGATTTTTGTATCCACGTTTATCAGGAGATGGGCCTGCAGGTCTCTGGCCTTGTGGCCTCCTAGCTTTGGTACGAGGGTCCTTCTGGCCTGATGAGCTTGGACACGCCTCCTGCTCTGATTTTGTTTGTCTCTATGATGATCTTGTGGACCAGAGTGACGTGCGGGAGCACCCGTCACCCAGAAGCCCGGCTCCCCAGCCTCAGACGTGGTGGTTCAGGCACGAGTGAGGGCCGTGCCGGCGGGGGGCTGGCTGTCTGCGTGCAGGCCACGGGGGAAGAGAGCCAGCTCCCTGCCCACGCCGCGCCGAGGACAGCGGGATCTTTTGGGTTTGGTGTTGTCTCCTGTGCCGGGAGTTTCCCGCTTGCCTACTGCAGCGGCCTTTGCGCTGGCAGGGGAGAGTTCACTGGCACTGACTAGGACGGGCTGCCTTTCTGCCGGCGCTTGAGCAGGGAGGTCCCTGAGCCAGCTCAGATGGTTCCCCCTTTTTGGGGACCCGAGGGCAGTGTCTTAGAGCTGGGAAGGTTTTTCTGAATATGGCCACACTGACCTCGGGGACCCGTGGTTGGAACAGCCTGCCAGCTGCCTTGTTTGGAAGAAACACGAATTACTCCGAAAGGCCTGCGTCCTGCCTTCTGGGGTGGAGCAGCGGCGTTTCCGCTGTTGTCACGGGTAGTGGGATTTTCCTGTGTTCAGGCTGTCTCTGCCCATGAACTGAAGTTCTGTAGCGTCCTAAAGCCCATGACAGTAAAGTACCTGAAGGGCCTAACACAGTCGCCTCCACATCTCGGGTCTCCTGCCCAGTCTCTGTAATTGGACCCCCTGGTCAGCGGCTGTTTGGAGACCTTGCAGGGAGGGCTCTGTGAGCTGGGGTCTTCCTCTGGGTCTGGGGAGCGCCTTGCGCCAGCACATCTCAGCCAGCCGCCCCCCACCCCCACTCCCTACAGCCTCATGCAGGGCCAGGCAGAGGGTCCAGGGGAGCGTGAGGGAAAGTGCATGGACACGTGCACTCTCCTCGCCTCATTCTGGGTTGGCTTTCCCAGCAGGGCTCGGGCATTAGACGGTAACTCAACGCGGCCCCCCTGCCGGTGTGGACACCCAGTGTTTGTGTGACTCAGGTGGACACTGTCAGTCTGGAGGCACCCTGGGCTCTTGCTGGACCCTGTCCTGGGTGGTTGTAGTGTGTCAAGTGTCTGCCCAAAACACAGACCTTACACCTGCACGAGGAAACGGCTTGTCCGCTAGGGGTCAGCTTAGAGGTCCTGCTTGCAGCCCTGGGGGCGGTGCTGGGCTCCCGCTCTCCCTCAGACCATCTTGAGGGTGGTCCCAGGCTGAGCGAGTCGGTGTCATTGCATCCGCGGGAGCCACGAGGGGCACGGTGATTTTTCTAACACGTGTAGAGCTCATATGTCCAGAGAGGGCTGCCACGCCAAGCAGACACGTGGGGGGCAGCGTGTTTATTTCAACGAGCCGTAGCTTCTAAAGCAAAACAGGGAACTCTTAGAATTGCCAAGAGTCTCGCATGTTCTTCGAGCCGTCCAGGGGCTCTGAGATCGTAGACTGGTTTGGAAAAGAACCAGACTGTTGCTGGCAGTCAGACTGAGGGTGGGGGGGAGGGGAGACAGGAGGGGAGACAGGAGGGGATGGTCACGCTGAATGGGCCCATGTATCGTACTCACCAGTATTTCATCATGAAAGATTTAAAAATCTACAAGAAGGAAATGTGGACGGGATCACAGAGCAAACACCCACTTAACATCACCAGATCCTACAAGCCTCAGCAACACGTCATATCACACAGCTGTCAGTCTGCCATCTCTCCATCATTCCAACTTATTTTTTTGAAACATTTTTAAGTAAGTGCCAGATACTATCACATTTTACCCCGAATCCCTCAAGTGTACATGTCACCGTGGGGTTCGTTATCTCCTGAGCTCCTGATTGTTTATTAAACACAGAACCTATCAGGGTATGACCGTAAGGTAACCAGACTGAATTTCCTGTGTCTCTTTTAAACCCACTCAGAAGATGGCACACAGGATGGATGGCAGGTGTCTGGGAGACAGTACATGCTTGTTTAGGAACTTGTGTTCCTAGGCCGACACCTCGGGTCTCGGTGGTGGCCGGCCCCCTGCCCGCGTACTTCAGAGGCCTGGGCTGCTCCTGGCCTCACTTTCCTAGTCCTTCTACCCCAGACTAAGGTGGAGGAGACCTGATAGCCACCATCCCGTCTCCGTCTCTGTGTCCCACTTGGCCCTGCTGGCCGGGGCCCCCTCCCCTCAGAGTGGAGTGATCGCGTAGCTTCAGCGCTCCAGCCCGTCCCTGCTCCCCTCTGTGCTCGCCAGGGTTCGCCCGACAAACAGAACCAGTTTTCTTGGATGAATCTCTCATAAGGAATCGGGTCCTGCGGTTAATACAGGCTGAGGAGTCCCAAGACCTGCTGTCATTAAGCTGAAGACCCAGAAGAGCCAGGGGCGTAGTTGGGGTCTGAAGGCTGGCAGGCTCGACAGCTTGGAAGAACCCACGATTCCGTTTCAGGTCCTAAGTTAGAAAAGACTGATGTCCCAGCTCACACAGACAGGCAGTCGCTGCCTGTGGAAAAGCCTTATCTTTCCGGGCTGTCAACTGATTGGACGAGGCCCACCACACAGGGAGGGTAATCAGCTTTACTGCGTGCACTGGCTTAAATGCTAATCTTACCTGGAAACACCCTCACAGGTACACCCGGATGTGTGACTGGATGTGTCATCATGGGTCGTGGTGACACTGTTGCCAGGACAGGGCTGTCGGGCTTGTGTGGCCAGCAGAGCAAGCCGTTCACTCTAGTGATGATTTTTAGTCCGATTGCTCGAGACACACACCTCATGGGCAGATGCCAGGGTCCCAGCATTAGAAAAACCTCGTCCTGGCCATGCTGAGGAAAGCGGTGTCCCCGTCTCTGACCCCTCACTGATGGGAGGCTCACCACTTCACAACGGTGCCCACTCTGTCTTTTAAGGCCGCGCCATTGGTGCTGGTCACGTAGAGCCCGGGTTTCAGAGGGCCCCGTTGCCTGTTTTATTGTGGTCTTGAAAGACATTTTCCTTCTTACGCGTCTTGAGAGACTTTTTGAACGATCTGCTGAAATCCACGTTTATGTCCAAGGCTCTGTCCCCAGCCATCACGAGTACTTGTCTGCATTGCCCGCCGTGTCACTGTGCAGTGCAGCCCGGCCGGCCCCAGCGTCAAGACCTGCTCTCTCTCTCCCTGTAGTGCTCCATCGGTACCGACACATTCTGGGATTGTGGCAGCCGGACATCGGGCCCTACGGAGGACTGCTGAACGTGGTGGTAAGTCCGAGAGCGAGAGCGTGCTGCGTGGGCCTTCGCACGCCTTTCCCAGAGGGGCAAGCCCGCCGTCGCCTGCGGCACGATCGTCAGGGGGCCCGAGGCTGTTCTGTGATTGGTTCTCAGCCTTCTCGCTGCGTCCCTGGACTGTGTGGAGCTGCGAGGGTGTTTTCCCTCCTGTACCCTGCCTCCTGGACATCTGGGGCCCTTGCGCTCACGCCCTTGGGGCCCTCTGGGTTTGGGGTGTGCACTAGTTTGTTGTAAATGAGGAGCCCCAGGAGCCTCAGACACTTACCCTCAGGCCCTTGGGGCCACATGGAGTCATCGCAGCGGCTCTGTCACTGAGCACTGGGGCGCACCCCAGCTGTGACTCACTGAGCGCCCCTTCTATCATTCCGCTAACACGTGGGAGCGCTTGTCCTGGGAGGAAGACACAGTTCGGTGGCTGGGGGCGCGCCGGGCTGTCGGGTCACAGTGAGTCACTCAGCAGCCACGGCGGCCTCACGACCAGGCTGGGCCTCAGAGCGACGTCCGAAAGTGGGGCTGTGAGGCCCCGGTTTGAAATCTTTTCTCACCCACCGTAGTAGTACTGGGGTCAGGCCAGTGTCCTTGATGGGTCGGGGCACCAACGGTAGACAACTTTTTGGGGAAATGTGGTTTCCACCATCTGAGGGCATCTCCTGCAGATGCCTTACCACCCACTGTCTTAGCTTCCCCAGCGGTCGCCGTACCAGTGACCACAAACTGGGTGGCATAAAAGACAGAAATGTGTTCTGTCGCTCTTCTGGAAGCCCAACGTCCTCAGTCAGTGTGTCCGATGTTTTCACTGTGCCTAGCGTCCTCCATGTGCCCGATGTCCCAGTCAGTATTCCTAACGTCCTCTGTCAGTGTGCCCGACGTTCTCAGTGTGCCCAGCGTCCTCCGTGTGCCCGACGTCCTCAGTCTTTGTGCCCCACATCCCCTGTCCGTGTGCTCCACGTCCTCCCATCAGTACTCCCGATGTTCATTGTCCGCGTGCCCAATATCCTCAGTCTGTGTGCCTGACGTCCTCCATCAGTGTTCCTGGGCTGAGACCAAGGTGTTTCCGGGTCACCATGCTCAGTCCAAAGACTCCAGAAAAGGATCCTTCCGCCTCTTCCAGCTACAGGGCCTCGGTGGCCCTTGGCTGTGGTCGTATCCTGTACCTCTGTCTCCGTCCTCACATGGCCTTTCCCCTTCCATGTGTCTCAGACCTCTGTCCGCCTCCCTCTCACAGGGCTCTAAGTGATGGATGGCATTCAGGGCCCGACTAGATGAGCCAGAAACCTCTGAAGATCCTCAACGTCATGTTTCTTATTTATTTATTTATTTATTTATTTATTGTTATTTATTTATTTATTGGACAGACAGAGACACAAGTAGGCAGAGAGGCAGGCAGAGAGAGGGGGAAGCAGGCTCCCCACGGAGCAGAGAGCCCGATGCAGGACTCGATCCCAGGACCCTGGGATCATGACCCAAGCCGAAGGCAGAGGCTTTAACCCACTGAGCCACCCAGGGGCCCCTAACGTCAGGTCTCTTAATCCTTTCTTCGAGGTGTAAGGTGATGACGTTTGCAGGTTCTGGGGATTAGGACAGGGACTTTCTTGGGAGCCGTTACTTAGTGGTCAAGATTACAGGGAGGAAATGGGGCCTTACTGGGGAGAGATGTGGCCAACAGTACCCATCCTAGAGATCATGTTCACTAGCCAGCAGTAGGACTCTGTTTTGGGCTCCTCCTGGTTTCACGTGAAGTACAAGTCCCACTTCTCTCCATCGCCTGCGAAACACACACAGCCCGAGTCTAATCACGGGGACCTCTTCACACAGACAGACCCCGAAGGTCAGGCCCCAGAGGCTCTACCCTCTGCCTTCTGAATATCAGGCTCACCAAAGGCCAGGAGGGCTGCTGAGCTAAGAGCCGTGGTCCTGGTAACCATCCCCCGTGTGGGGAGAAAGGGGGCCGGGGCCCACAGACGAGGACCAGAGGGGGCAGCCTGCCCAGTGGGAGTGGAGGTTGCCTTAGAAGCAGGCGTCCGTCCTTCCAGCAGCCTGACTGATGTCCCATGAGGGGCCCTCCCTGCCCGGCTCTGCTGGGAGCACAGTGTTTCTGGTTTCAGCTGCCATGTCTTCCTGACTTGGCTGTCTGCTGCTTCCCCGGCCCCTGTGCACCTGCCCTTCTCCCTGCGGTGGTCAACATTGTTGTTAACGAGTTATGAGCTGGATGATTCCCGTCCCTCAGATGGGGTTGGTCTGGTCAGGCAGACCAGGTGTTCAGGAGGACCACTGGGTCTCTTAGGGATGTAGCTCTGTGTCTAAGGTCCCAGTGCTGGGGTCCCCCTGCCCTGCCCTGGGAGTTCCCTGAGGACTCCTGCCCTGGCTTCTCGGAGCAGGGTGGTCTAGCACGCTACCCAGCTGGCACTGGGCTCGGTGAGTGGTTGGAACCCGGGTCCCTTGGCAGATCCTTGGGCTCTGTCTCTGCATAGCTCCTTCCTTTCTGGGACTTTGATCCCCACACTCCAGCCCTGCCAGCCCCCAGAGCTCTGGTCTCTCGTTGCTTAGGTTGGAGCACTGCCCGGTTCTGCCTGGCCTCTGAGCCCTGGGGTCTGGAAGGTGCCTCTGGCAGGAATCCAGGGGGAGGCGGGGATCACCTCTTTCATTCTCTGGGATCACAGCCCTGCGTGGCCTGTTGTCCGGGGTCGCCTTGGGGTTCACGGCGGTCCCTGTTACTCCACTGTGGTCAGGATGTAAGTCTGGCTTATTTTTTCTTTTTTTTTTGGTGACCTTTGTTTTCTTTATTGTGTCTTCTTGAATGTATCAAAGTTCTGTAAAGTCCACGATCTCCGTTTCAGTTCATAGTTTGCTCTTACCCTCCGGGTTTTCAGGCGTGGCGGTGGGGCTGCTGGTGCGCTCGCACACATGGCTGTGGACGCTGCTGCCCCCGGAGGGTGCCCGGCCTCTGGCCTGCGGTCCCAGCCAGCAGTGCGCCTGGCCCCGACCAGGTGTGGTGAGGGCCAGTGTCGTTCCTGGTGGCCCCTCCACAGCATGTCCCCGGAGGGCTGGGCGCCTGCCGCTCTCCAGGGCCTGCGTTTCCGCTCCTGGGGAAGGGATCCTGCCTCTCCGTCCTGGCGGGTTGGTCTCTTGGCAGACGCTCTCTGCTTGGCTTCTGCACCTCCCGCCCCTCACAGGTTGGGACCCAGAGCTGTAGACACTGTGGGGCCCTCTTCCTTGGGATCCTGCCCGAGAGCCCTGGCCTCTGTGGCGGCCTGGGGGTTCAGCACCCTGTAGTCGGGGACCTGGGGCATAGGGGTGGGAGGCCTCGCCCCCTTGGGCTCACCTCAAGCCTGTCCCTTGTTTTCAGGCTCTCGGTTCTTGTCGCGGGGCCGCCGAGCGTGCCCCCTGGTGTCTTCGGGAGCGTTTAGGCTGCGGCGTGGGCGGCCCTCACAGCCGGTGGCAGCACGCGGGGCATCTGGTGTAAGGCCCTGGGTTCTAGGCCGGAGCAGGTCCTGCCATCGTCTCATGTGTAGATTCTGCCCAGTCGCTTGCCAGCTGTGTTTTGAAAGGTAGATGCTCCTTGTTGGTGCTTTACGGGCACCTGGACCGTAGGCACTTTGCCGGATCTCTCTGGTGCGGCCATCCTCACTCCAGCGGCCTGCCGGGTGCTGTCTGCACAGAAGCCCTGGGACGCGGTGTCCGGGAGCCTGGCCCCATGTCGCTGCAGCCGAAGGCCCGCTGGGAGTGAAGCCTGGTGCCCCGTGGGGGGCGCTGGCGTTCTGGTCTTGCTTCCCCTCTGGGCGCTTGACCCTCTGCAGGCCGGAGGCCCTAGTCCGCAGGACCGGCCACGAGTGTGTCTCACAAACGGCACGTTGGGGCCTCGGTGTGGGCCTTTCCCAGGTTGCCTCGCGTAGGTGCCCGGGGTCCCTGGGAGCTCAGACACTCTGTCTTGTGCTCACCAGGTGTGGTTTTGGACGGGGATAAATACTGCTTCGTGTTCCTTATGATTCGGCGGAAACCTCCGTGACGAAACACGCTTTCTGTCCTTGTCTGACATCGCAGGGGAAAGCCTCGCATTTAGGACGCTCCCCGCAGGACAAGCCAGACCGCTCCCCGCGTGGGCAGGCTGCCTTCCATGCTTTAGGCGGGGAGGGTGATCATTGTTTTTCTCGCTTGTGGTGACTAATAAAGTTAAAAGAAAATACTGCAGCTTCTGAAAGCAGGGGATAATCACGGGAAACGGAGTCATGCCAGAACAGTGCCGGGTCGCACTCGTCAGATTGGACCGGCTTGCCACGGAAGTGGGTGAGACAGAGCCAGCCGCCGGACACCCACATCCCCGACTGTGGGGCTGGCCCTCCGGCCTCGGGGAAGGTGCTGCGTGCTGTGCCTGGGGACTACTGCCCGCTCTGACCCTATGTCCACCATGGCCACCCCATCAGGTTCCTCGGAAGACTGACGGCAGCGTGGACGCCTCCTGTTGTCAGGCACGGCAAAGCCCATGGAACCTGCCTCCTCCCTTTGCCTCTGATTTTCAGGGTTCTTAGAGCAGATCCCAGGCCCACAGCATTTCGTCTGTGTGGACCTTTAAGGGGCGTGGGTGTTTCCTTGCACGTGGGCCTTGTCCCTGCCCTGCCCTGCAGATGTGGCAGGGACACTGTGACACGGCCTGAGGCCTGGTCTATGTCGTCTTCCGGACGGCCGCAGAACGGCCTGTGCACGGCGGCTTGGAGTTGGGTCTGCAGCGCCGGCGTGCGGCATCCGTGTGTGCCTCGCAGGGCTCTGCTGCCCGAGGCAGCCCCCTGACCCCCTGTGTTTGGCGGGTTTGGTGCTTCCTGGGCGCCTCCTGCTGCGGTCCAGCGCCGACCGGCCCGTCCCTCCGACTTCAGACCTGGTCCTGCTCTCTACTTGCTTTTTAGGTGTAGGTTGAACTATTTTTTTTTTTTTTCACCTTTTTCAAACAAAACTTGCTTGTTTTTTCTTTCGGAATTTTATTTCTTACGGAGGCGTGCTGACCCACAGTATTACATGAGTTTCAGCTGGGTGACATGGTCGGTTAGGCTGTGCTCACAAGCGCCGCTGACTTACCCTGTGACCCGCTCATTGTGCAGCCGGCCGCCCGCCCCTCCCCTTCCCTCCGCCCATCTTGCCCGCACCCGCACCCAGTCGTGTATCTTTGTTCTCTGTATCTGTCCATCTCTTTCTGCTGCTTTTGTCCGTCTTGTTTCTTAAACTCCACGTGTGGGTGAAACCGGTTTGTTTTTGGCTGACTCAGTCCACTTAGCACACGACCCTCTAGGTCCATCCATGTCATCGCAAATGGCAAGATTTCGTCCTTTCTGACGGCCGAGCGGCGTGTCACGGTACATACACCACGTCTTTGTCTGTCCCCCCCGTCGGTGGCACTGAGGCTGCTCCTGCATCTCGGCTGCTGTAGATAAGGCTGCGGGCACATGTCCCTTTATTTCCAGCGGGCAGGTGGGATTGTAAGGTGTGTGACGAGCCCCTCGCTGCAGCTGATACCTGTCCCCACTCGGCAAGGATTCCTGCCACGGGCGGGGTTAGCGCGTCCCCCCCCACTCACGCTGCCGTTCTCTCTGGCTGAGAGCATGTAAGTCCCGCTCTCCCAGAAGGTCTTGGTGTCGGCGCAGTGCTGTTGGCGACCGTCACCCGGTCTCCAGGCAATAACCACTTCTACTTACCGGGCGCTGGGTAGGTGGGCCATGCTGGTTGTGGTGACTAGGTGGGCTCCTGGCCCCGAGAGTCTCCGTGGGGCTGCCTCGTGGAGGCCAGGGTGGTCCTTGGGGACCCGGTCCCGTCCTGGCCCCTCCTCCCAAGCCCTGTGTGGACTCGTGCCCGTTCTCCCCGCAGGTGGATGGCTTGTTCATCATCGGCTGGATGTACCTGCCCCCCCATGACCCACACGTGGACGACCCGATGCGATTCAAGCCTCTGTTCAGAATCCACCTGATGGAGAGAAAGTCGGCCACTGTGGAGTGCATGTATGGCCACAGAGGGCCGCACAACGGCCACATCCAGGTGAGCAGGGCCCCTGAGGCCTGGCAGCCGTGTGCAGGTGAGGGGCTGGGGCCCTTCTGTCCCTCCCGGTCCCAGGGGCAGGCGGGGTGCGGTGCTGGCTGAGCGGCAGTGGTATTCCCAGCTACAGACCCGTGTCCACACCAAGCAGTGAATGTGGGAGGAGGTGGGGGCTCGGTCCACCTGGGGCGCGTTTCCCGTGTGTGTCCTGTGATGCCCCCGCCCCCCGGGATTGTGTGTTCAGTTGGAACCGATTGCTGTTTTTGTTGTGATTCCAACCCCTTTGGGCTCCTCTTCGCAAGAGCGTGAGCTCGGACTAAGACGCTCTGCCCTCTGGGAACGTTCTGGCAGGAGGCCACCCCAGAAAGCACGGGTGTCGCCTAACACATGACAAAAGCACCAGGCCCCCTTTCCTGCCGTAGGGTGTCCTCCTGGGAAGACGCACGTCACCTTCCCCGGGGAAGGATGTGCGTGCTCAGGGTGCCTCTGAGGTCCCTTCTTTGGATGGGCCGCGATTCGGTGGCCTCTTGGGCTCCGGCACGCGTGTGGGGGAGTGGGTGTGGGAGAGGCTGACCCTGCCGCCCGTGGCTGACTGGGTCCCCTCTCCTCTGTGGTGAATGCTCAAGATCGTGAAGAAGGATGAGTTCTCCACCAAGTGCAACCAGACGGACCACCACAGGATGTCTGGCGGGAGGCAGGAGGTGAGCCTCTACCCGTTCTGTTCACAAGGCACGGGCGTGAGGGCGAACGGTTTCACATCGCCAGTGTGCGCCCAGCGGAGGGGTGTCACCTGGCTCAGCCCGGTCCGTGCGTCTGACCCTTCGTCAGGGCGTCCTGTGCACGTGTCCACGCGGACAGGCTTTCGTTCCCCGCCGCCCCTCGGATTGATCGAGCCCAGGAGGAATCGTTCCTCTGATTGGCTCTCTTTCGCCCCCTTGGCCAGAGTGCCCATGCTGCTGGGGGTTCCTTCTTGGGTGTGAGTTGGTGGGACCCTCTGTGTCCTCCCCAGGGATGGGCTTGGGGCTGACTCCCCGGTCTCGGCGGTGCTGCAGGGAGGCTGGTCTCTGAGCCACACCCGCGAGTTTCTTGGGATTTCCTTTCATCTGCACGGGTGCGGTCTCCTCGCCTTTGGGTTTGTCTTTCCGGAGGATCCAGGTCACACATACAGCCATTCCAGAAAGATCTTAGGAAAGCTGGACTTTGGGGCACCTGGGTGGCTCAGTGGGTCAAGCCTCTGCCTTCGGCTCAGGTAATGATCTCAGGGTCCTGGGATCGAGTCCCGCATCGGGCTCTCTGCTCAGCGGGGAGCCTGCTTCTCCCTCTCTCTGCCTGCCTCTCCGCCTGCTTGTGGCCTCTGTCAGATAAATAAGAAAGCTGGACATCGGAAAAGCAGGGTCCCTGTTGAGCTGACAGTTACTCGTTGGCTGCGCACTTCTCAGGTTCTGAGTCCGACAGCTTCCCCGTGAGCCGCGGAATTGCAGGGAGGTTCGAGGTAAAGTCATACACACACAGGTGTTAGTTTCCTGGGCCTCCTCGACCGCCCACCAGGGTGGGTGAGCCCCTGGCTTCCTGTGCTCCGGACGGCCTTCGTCTTGGCCCTGGCGGAAGCAAGGCCACTTAGCCTGTGGCCCGGGGAGTAGCTCTGACTGTGCCACGGACCAGCTGGGTTGCTCAAACTGTAGAACAGGGAGGGTGTACGCACCCATCTCCTGGGCCGGTGCGCACACGCAGGGGGTGGTTCCATAGAGCCGGCGCTGGTGAGCGAGCTCAGATCAATGTTCCTCCTGTCCTGGTGCTCTGGGCCCCTGTGTTTTCCCTTGGGCATGCGTCGCTCAGGAGATAATTTCGTAATGAACATATCTCTGAGGTCTGTGTTCTGAGTAATTGGGTCTGGTGTTTGGGTATTGGGTAATTGGTATTTCTAATGGCTCTGACCTTTCCAGGGGAAGTAAATAAGATGATGACTCCTCACAAGCCGGGCGCGGGGTGCGCAGCGCGTCTGATACTCAGCACGGGAGCGTCTGGGCTGACTTGCTGCGTTAGCTCCCTTCCGTTCCTGGCTCTTCCTTATCCGTTTGGTTTTCGGGGCCTTACTCCATCTGAGTGGCCGGGCTTGAAGTCTAACGTGTTAAGTTTCTTCTTGCATGATTGTTGTTTTCTGCGTCTTAGAAGACTCTGCCTGTCCCCAGGTTGCAGAGTCTCCTCTTCAGAAGTTGGGTAGCTTCGTGCTGTGTCTGGGTCCGCAGTCCCTCTGGACTTACTTCCTGTGTGTGGTGTGAGGCAGGGATCGTGGTTCCCGTTCTCTGTGTGGATGTCCAGCTGCTGGAGCATCATCTGTGGAAGCGACTTTGATTTCCCACGGGTGGACTGGCTGTATTTGTCGGAAGGCGGCTGACCAGATAGCGGGGCCTATCTCTGGGCTCTCTGTCCCGATCGTGGGTGGTTTATTGACCCCAGGGTCGGTACTGCTGTCTTGGTTCCTGCAGCTGCAGAGTAAGGCAGACGTGATCTCGGTGCGGCTCCTCCAGCTTGGTTCTTTTGCACGATTGTTTCGGATGTTGTAGGTTCTTTTCACTTCCCTAAGAATTTCACAATTGTCAGTTTGTACGGAGACCCTGGTGGGACTGGGGCTGTCATGGCGTTGAGTCCTCGGACGACCTTGGAGAGAACTGCTGGCTTGGAACCGGGTCCTCCGGTCCACGGGCACCTGTATTGTGGGGGTGTCTCCGTTTCCTTCTGCCAGGCCCGTGGCTGTCAGAGAAGGGGTCGTGCACATGCCTGCTAACACGTATTCCCAGGTCATAAGTTGTTGGAGGCTGTTGGCAATGGGACTTAAAACCCTCTGTTGCTCGCCTTCGTGCTGCTGGTATAGAAACGTGCAGTTGATCGTACGTAATGAGCTTGAGGCTCCGAAGCCGCGCGCTCTAGTCGCTGCTTTGAGGGGTTTCCGTGTGTGGCCGGGGTTTGGGGAGGAACATACTAAAGGAACCTACAGGCTGTAGCTCTCCTGGTTTGTCGTCGTTAAATCACGTTTGCTTCTGTTCGTGGAGCTAACTCAGGACGGTCCTTAGAACACTGTATGGAGCTAAGAACCGAGCTGTGGATTAGTTACGGATTCGTGACTGAGCTTCGAGGACACAGTGTTTGTACAAGCTCCCTTTTCACAAATCAACTTCCTGAACGTGTAACATAACCGGGAAGGCACGTCTGCCCCACCCCGCCACCCCCGCCATACCTGTTTTGTTCATCGGCAGTGGCAGAAAGCAGCTCTGGCCCGTGTGGCCAGCACAGGGGTCAGCGACAAGAGTCCTGCTGTGCTCCCGCTTTCCTAGAAGCCCCTGAACAGGCTCAGTGTAGACATCGCGTGTCCTGTGAGTGGCCACAGAAGTGAGACTCCCGTGGCTGCTACCTAGGAGCTCCGGACACGGGCTGTGGCCGCAGCCTTGCCTGAAAGGATCCCACAGTCCCTGTTGTTGCCTGTTGAAGTCTGGGCCTGTGTGCTCTGGGAAAGCGGGAGTGTAGCCCCTCACCTTCCTTTGGTGGCTGACCTCCCCAGGAAGGAAGCCAGGGACTCGGAGAGCAAAGTGTGGCAGCCCCCTCCTGTCCAGCCTTCGTCTCCGTCCTGTCCGCCCCTCTGGGACTTGGGCATTGCTGTGCCCGCGGCATCACCCCAGCTGTAAGAATGCTGCCTTTGCGCACTCAGTGCCACAGTGAGCAGTCCTCCCTGCCGGTCGTGGCGTTTTCGTGACCTCTGCTCTTTTGGAAGGAATTCCGAACGTGGCTGCGGGAGGAGTGGGGGCGGACGCTGGAGGACATCTTCCACGAGCACATGCAGGAGCTCATCCTCATGAAGTTCATCTACACCAGTCAGTACGAGTGAGTGCGGCCCCCGGGGTCCCGTCTGTGAGCGCAGTCCCTGCCCCCTGCCGCCCCCTCGGTGTTGGTTTTCTGTTGGGTTCTCATCACCTACCAGCCGGTGCTCGGACCAGCCCGGCCCGTGTGCTGGGGCCTCGGGGTGGTTTCCCCACATCTGTGGGGGGAGCCCTCCTCTCTTAGCTGCTCTCCCTGCCTCGGCCTCTGCCCCATGCTCTGTTCCCGTGACCCATTGAAATAGGCCTTGCGCGGTGACTGTGCCGTTCGCCATCTCCGGGGCTCCTGTGCCAGGCTGGCGGAGCGGGAGCGGCAGCCCCTCCCCTTAGAGAGCGCCGCCCACCCCAGTTCCCTTGCCGTGCTGCTAGCGCGAATGTGTGCCTGCTCAGCCTGGTGGGATCCGAGCAGGTGTGAGGTGGGCCCTGCTAGCGTTCAGGGGGGCTAGGAACGCGGGTGCCCCTGTTCCGCCCGGCTGTGCTAGGCTACCCTGCCCTTCCTGCCCTCCCTAACACGGCAGCTTGGCGAGTGTGGTCCGTACTTAGGCCTGCCCGCCGAGCTGCTCTCACGCCACCGGTTCCCCCCACAGCAACTGCCTGACCTACCGCCGCATCTATCTCCCGCCCAGCCACCCGGATGACCTCATCAGACCCGGCCTCTTCAAAGGCACCTATGGCAGCCACGGCCTGGAGATCGTCATGCTCAGCTTCCACGGGAAGCGTGCCCGAGGCACGAAGATTACGGTGAGTCCGGGCGCTGCCTGGCAGGTCCTGCTCTGTGAACTCAGTCTGAGCGGCTGCGTGGTATCGAGGCTCGGGCTGCGCCCCGGCTGCTCAGGGTGGGCTCTGGACCCCTGGCAGCCTGCACTGGGGAGTGGGCTGGGAATGCCGATTGGGAGTGCGTCCTGCCACCCGCCCCGCAGACCCACTGATCCAGAATTTGCATTTCACAACACCTCCAGGGCGTGTGGAGCATTTCCAAGGTGGTTTTATCTGCGGCTCCCGGTCCTGGCCCAGCAGCTGACCAACACGGTCGGAGGGCTGTTGAGCAGAGCAGGGTTCTCGGGGCAGCTGGACACGGGGCCTGCTCCAGGGGCCCCGCCCACACCGCACTCACCTGCGATTTGCGTAGTTGGGGTGTTTCTGGCCAGCGCACTCACGGGTCCCGGGCGCAGTGCCTGTTCTTTGCTCTCACGGAGCTGCACTCTTGGACTTGGGTTGGCAGGGCCCGGCGCCCTGGGACGGCTCCTCGCGTGCAGAGCCCAGCGCTGGGGCCCGGTGGGGCCGCCGGGTCTGCAGGATCCCCCAGGTTCAGGCTCAGGAGCGTTTGCGTGTCGGGCAGACAGGTCGGGGCGGCGTTCAGGTCTGCCCTGCCGTCCCTGGGAGGGTCTGTGCCCTTCTCTAAGCCCCGGTGTTCTAGAACGGGAGCTGTTTCACGCCAGGAGGTCCCAGGTGCGTGCGAGCCACTCCACCGGGTGTCTGTGCACCTCCCGAGGTCACTCGGGTGCCGTCAGGCCCTAATTTCCGAGACGCCTTCGCAGACGAGGTGTGCGCCTGGGCACGCGCTTTGAGGACTCATGCAGTGTTCTTACATCAGAAGGGGAGCTGCTAAGTCCGTGGGAGCGCTGGAGTGAGCTCGCAGGGCTGGGGGCGTGATCGTGGCAGGAGCCACACAGAGTGTGTCGCAGCCGTTCCCTGAGCCCCGCTGACAGCCACGTGCTTGCTCCGCAGGGTGACCCGAACATCCCCGCCGGGCAGCAGACGGTGGAGATCGACCTCAGGCACCGCATCCAGCTGCCCGACGTGGAGAGCCTACGCAGCTTCAGCGAGCTCTCCCGCCTCGTCCTGGACGTGCGGGAGCGGCTGCGCCAGGAGCAGCAGCAGCAGCAGAGCGGGCTGGAGGACGGCGAGGCCGGAGGACGGCAGAGCCCCCGAGAGCCCCAGCGGGGCCCTGCGCAGCCCGGCGCGGAGCTGCCTGCCGAGGAGGTTGGGGAGGCCGGGGGAGCCGAGGCCGCGGGTGCCCAGCCTGGGCAGGGACAGCCCTTTGTGTTGCCTGTGGGCGTGAGCTCGAGGAACGAGGACTACCCCCGCACCTGCAGGATGTGGTAAGAGAGCCGGGGCGGTGCGCAGCGGGCCTTCGGGGAGTCCTGCCTCCCCACCCGGCGTGGAGACGGGCTGTGGGGGCCGGCTCGGCACTGGCCACTGTGGGGCTCCCTGCACCCAGGCGGTGAGCCCCTGACCACTCTGTGTGGGTCTCAGCTTGGGCTCGAGGAGAGCGCCCTTCCCTGGGCTGCACAGACTTCAGAGGCTCCCGATCTCCTCCCCCCGGGGAGCCTCCAGGCTTACTAGAACTGGCGGGCTGGAGGCCTCCTCCTTCCTAGTGCCTTGTGTCGCCTCAGCGGTCAGGTGAAGGGTAGGCAGGCGAGCCTGCAGGTGGCCTTGAAAGGAGCCAGTGAGGAGGGGGCCCTTCTGCACCTGTTCCCCAGGGAGCCGGCTTGAGTTCGGCTGGATGTCCTTGTGGGTAAGGCCCCCTCTGAGCACACTCCAGGGTCAGCCGTCCGTGTCTTCTGTGGTTTCTGTCCCAGCTCAGAAAGCGTGCGCAGAGGGCTGGCGGTGCACTCCTGCCCCGGGGCCGGCCTGCTCTTGGCTTGACCGCGGCTCTTACGGTTTTGTCTTGGGCCACTGTTCTCGGCCGCTCAGGCCCCCCTGCCCCAGCCCTCTACGCTTCGGGGCTTCTTAGGTGTCGACGAACCAGAACAAATGAAACCACAGACTCGGGTCCTCCGTTGCACTGGCCACATCTCAGGTGCCAACAGCCACGTGTGTATTTGGATAGTGCAGGTCTAGAACATTCCGTCCCTGCAGAAAGTTCTCCTGCACAGTTGCCCTAGGGGATGTTCTGAGGCGATGACCTGTCTCCTGGCGTCATAGCTGCCTGGCTTCTGTGTCTGTCCAGTAGGGTGGAAAGGTCTGTTTCCTTGACTTCTGGGCTGACTGCCGGCTCGTGCTGGTGGTGGTGGTCTGACTGGCGCGTCACGTGTGGCGTAAGTGTGGCCAGGGCTCTGACTCCCGAGGGAGGATTTAGGTGTCTGTGTGGGCTTGCTGGGTTCTGAGCACCCGGTGCCAGTTTGGGGGTGCCCCCCACACCAGCACGCAGTTCTCCACGATGCCAGCTTGGTGTCTGGCCACTGGACTCAGTCCTGACGCCGCCCCCCCAGAGACGGTGTCAGACCCGGCAAGACTGCCTCTGTCCCCTCAGACACCGGTCCGAAGTCGTCAGCCGTGCTCGTGACCAAGCAGCTTTATGTCGGGGGTCCCCGCGAGCTGCTCAGGCTCGGTTCATGTGCTGGGGCAGCTCACAGAATTCAGGCCAACAGTACGTCTGCCATTTCGTTGAAGGAGCTGAGAAAGGACGCCGGTGGACGGCCACAGGCGGAGATGCGTAGGGTCCTGCGTGCAGCAGCTTTCACCCCCGGGGACTGGGTCCATGTAGCTGTCCCCCACCTGGGAGCTCCCCGAGCCCCTGACTTGGGGATGTCACGGAGGCTTCCTCACAGGGGCCTGGCCAGTTGTCAGCCCTGTCTCCAGCCCTTCTCTTGTCTGGAGAAAGGCAGGGCTGCTCAAGGTTCCAGGCTTCCGTTCCTGGCCGGTCCCTTCCTAGTCGGTCCCCTCTTAGTGTTCCTGTCCCTTAGGACTCTTGTGTTCGAGAGCTGGTGCCAGGCTCTGGGGCAGAGGTCAGCGCACATACTCTAACGTTACCTCCCACGGGGGAGATCCATGTCATTTTCCCTCATGTTACACAATTACCACAAAAGTGTCTGAATTCGGGTGTTCCTAGAGGAGGCCTACAAGTGGTGTTTCAGTATGATTTCGACTGTCGTGAGCTTCTCAGTGGTCATAGAAGAGAAGGGCTCTGCTGTGCTTATGAGAATGGACAGCTCGCAGTGTCTCGTGGCCGGCCGAGAGCCCCGTGGGCTCCGTTGGGTGCTGTCAGGCCCGCCCTGCGGTGAAGGCATGGGGTGCGCTGCACACTGGTCTCGGGACCTGGGAGGGGTGTGCTGTGGCCCCTTGCCTGCTGGATCTGTGTGTCTGTAAGGCCTCGCCACAGTGCGGATGGGGGACATGGCTGTCCCCAGTACGAACCTCAGCGGGCCTCACTCTGCCTCCCTGTGGGTTCTGGTGCCACTTTCCCCACCTGAGAGTCCCGTGAAGCACACGCCCTCATGCAGGGGCCTGTTCTCCCTCTCCTGCCCAGGGGAGCCTGGGCGTGGTGGGTGGAGGTTGGGGTGCTGGCCGCCATTCTGTGTGCTGGGAGATCGGGCCGGCTCCTGGCTCCTCATTATCTCTATGAGCCCCAGTTTCTGGGCAAGAAAGACATAAATGCATCTCATCTCAGTCCCACATTGCTCTTGAAACTTGGACCTTGGCCCTTACGGGTACTTGAAAGTTCTGCCGTCTGAGCTTATGACAGTTGCGTGCCGGTGGATCTGTATTGACTGCGTTGGAGTCGTTGACGTGCTGACGCAGCTATCCTGGGAATTCGGGTTTTAGTACTGGGGCCGGCTTTACGAAGCTGGACTTCAGAGCAGAAGTACACGGCGGGGCTACCCGAGACCCCCTTTCTTGGGCTGGGTGAGCTGGTGGGAGAGCGGCGGGCAGGGGTGAGCCTGACCGTGGGCCCACGCCTCCCGCACTGGCGCTTCGAGTTGCTTGCTGGTCCAGACGATGGGCTCTCTGGGGCTCCATGACGTGCTGCTTCCTGCTGGCGGGGCGGAGGGCCGGCCCGTGGTGTGGGGACGCTGCAGCAGGGGCTGACGGGGCAGCACAGGGCCCAGCGCCCTCCTTTCGGGCACTCACTCTCCCCCCGGCGCTTTCCCTCTTGTCTTGGCACAGCTTCTACGGCACAGGCCTCATCGCCGGCCACGGCTTCACCAGCCCCGAGCGCACCCCTGGGGTCTTCATCCTGTTTGACGAGGACCGTTTTGGGTTCATCTGGCTGGAGCTGAAATCCTTCAGCCTGTACAGCAGGGTGCAGGCCACTTTCCGGAATGCAGAGGCGCCGTCCCCGCAGGCCTTCGAGGAGATGCTGAAGAACATCCAGTCCCTGACCTCCTGACGGGCCGCCTCCCTGCGGCGCCCCCGCGGCCCCGGGCCTTGCGCCTGGGAGAGGAAGCAGCACGCACTTTGCAGAGTTGGCCTCTGACCAGAGCACCACCTCGCAGGAGTCTCGGCCCAGGCCCCCCCGGACTCTTTGTACAGAGTGTGTGACGTTTGCGTGTGTCCGTCAGGAGCTCGTGGGAAGGCTGACTGAGCACGTCTTACGGAAAGAAACAACCAGAAGAGGACTGATGGAGAGGGCCGGCTGCAGAGGTTTTGAACAACTCAAGTGGAGAAGCTGGGTTTGCCCTTGGCCTGCGGACTTCAGGGACAGCCCGAGCGACCCTGGGGGCTGCACAGAGGCATCGTGTGTGGGGTGTGCCAGCTGGAGGCAAGGGACAGGGGCTGCAGGCTGGCAGGGGCCTGGGGTGAGGGCAGGCTGGGTGGGGGGCAGTGTGTGCATAAAGGGAGCTCCGGCAGGGTCTGGAATGCTGGGCCAGGACCCTGGACTGAATTCCCATTTCTCTACTAACCTGCTTGGATTTTAGACAAACGCGGTTCAGCTCTGACGTGTCTGGGCAGCCGCGCAGGCGGCCGTGACGCGGGCCGTAGGCAGTGGCGGCTTGCTCGCCCCGGTCTCTGCAGCTTTAGAGTCAGCACCTTTGCTGCAGCCAGCCCCATGCCGGCGTTTATTCGCACCCCCCCCACCTCCTGCCCACACGCTGGCGTCAGAACCCCGAGCTCAGCCACTTGTCCCAGGACCTGCCCCGGGACTCGGCAGGGCCACGTCCGAAACAGCCCCGCGTTCCGCATGTGCAGGCGCACCCAGTGCTGCCGTTCCCAGGCCTGAGCCGCAGAGCCGATGCGCAGGGGACCTCGGCCCCCCTCTGCAGGACGCAGGGCAGCTTTCTAGACGTCACGCCCATGGACGGAATGCACTGTGGACACCAGGGCCTCATGGGATCCTCCAGGGCGGGGACCCCGATGACGGACGCTCCTGCGGGTGCTGTGTCTGTGTGTCCTGCTGACACCTGCTTTTGGGGCCACCGTAAGGTCTCTGCTGATCTTAGTGTCTCCTGAGAACAGAGCCCGGAATGCACGCAGACCCCCAAGAATTCGTAGCAGCTCCGCCTCTGGCCTGCAGAGAGCTGTCCCCACGCTCACCTTCCATGGGGGCGGCTTCACGGGCATGGCAGACCGCCTGTCCCCCTCTGTGATGCTCGTCCTTGCTGGGCGGACTGCGCCGGGCCCCCACACTGGGGGCGAGGGACCCCAGGGAAGGGGGCAGCTTTGTGGTGCCTTCCTGTAGAGACCAACGTGAGATGTTCCATGAAACCTGTTTTCCTGACGAATTTCTCCCTGACTGGCCTTTTTTAAAAAATAAAAAGTCCCTATTGCTGTAGCTTCAGTACGTTTGGCAATTCTGGACTCCCTTTGCTTCCGGAGTCGTCGAGTGGGTGAGCTCTGGGGCATGTCCCTAAACGAGACTTGTGAGGAGGTTCTTCCCGGCCTCCCGACTCGGGAGGGAGGCGAGCCTCTGGCCGGCTTTCGGAGACACCATGGCTCACGTCCCACGTCCGTCCAGCGGGTCCTGAGGCGCGGTCCCAGTTTTCATGTATTCCGCAGGACTGACCGCCAGGCGCCGTCACCCGACCACCCTGGTGGCTGTCACCGTGGCCTGTGGCAGGCATGGCTGCTCCGGCATGGTGTCGCCGAGGCGTGAAGCCTCAGGGAGAACAGAGTGAAAGCCAGCGGGGCGTGTGTGACCGCACTGCACGTTCTGTCCCAGCCCGAGGCCACCTCGTGTGTGTACGGCCCACTCAGACTGAAGATGAGCCTTTTTGATGGAAAGCTCATCTTGAGCCCAGACGGCAGAACCTGCCTCTGGAGTGTGGGCCTCTCCTTGGGTTCCGCTAGCAGCGGCTGTTGGCTCCATTCCCGTGGGTCCCTGTCTCTGGCGTCAGGCAGGGCCCCAGGGACCTGTGGGGCCAATGGCTCGGCAGTGGCCTGGGTGAGGGCCTATCACTGCCCAGCAGGGCATCCGGCGAACTTCGTTTCCCACTTGGGAACTGTTTGCAGCTGGGTAGGGAGCGTGCGGAGCCCGTGCAAACCAGCCCCACTGGGCGAGCCTTAGTGCAGAGCAGGCAGCCGGCCCACCCAGGCAGCGTCCGGCCGGGAATTGGTTGCAGGTGAGGATTCGGAAAGGCAGAGGTCATGGTTGGAAGCCTGGAGGCGGCTGGGGTTGGGTAGCGCACGTCCCCATGAGGGGATGAATGACCCAACTTAGGGACTGTCGTGCCCATGTGTTGCTTGATTCGGGGCAGGTGGTGGGGGACCCGGATGGGTCTGGCCATCTTCCCCTGCTTGGCACCCCCTTACCGGCCACTGCGCTGCTGTGAGGTGGGGTAAGTCTGTTGCGGTCCGAGGGGCAGGAGGGGAACCTCAGTCGCGTGTCTGCATACCCGGGCACGTGCCGTTCTGCGACTCAATAGGGAATGACGTGATCGGAGACGACAAATGTCACTCCGGAGATTCTCACGCATCGGGGCCCATGGTCAGTGGGGGATGCTTTTGCAAATGACCTTTTCTCTGGCTCCAACTCAGGCCTGGCGGTCTGTCTGGCTATGTGGCCTGCCCAGCTCAGACCTGCAGTGTCTCCTGCTGGGTGCTAGCAGGTCTGGAGGCCTCGTGGTGGTGGGACTTCCAGATCCTCCCTCCCGCAGCCCAGAGTGGGCCTCACTTCCCGGCCTCGCCCCTTGGTCCCTCCGTCAGGGCGGGGCTCACTGTGGCTCCTGCCGCTGCCTCCCTCGCCTCCTGCCCCAACCCACGCAGCTTAGGCGGGGCGCCTGTACCCCTGGCATTCCTCTTGGGGAAGGAGGAGGATGGGCGTGTGCCCAGGGTAGGCTAACTTGAGAAGCCGGCCAGGCCTCCATCCCTGCTTCATGCAGAACACGCTCTGAGCTGGAGTTGGCCCGTCCGACGTTCTCTTTGCCTGAGAAGCTGGGGTGTGCTGCTGGGGCCTGGTCGGGTAAGGCCCATCGCTCAGCCAGCCCGTTCTGTGGCCCCGGCGGCTGCAGCGGTTCCGGGCTGGTGTTAAGACGGTGGGCGGCCTGTGTGTTCTCACGCTGCCCTCGGGCCCACAAGCAGTGACGGAAAGGAGCTGCTTTAGTCCCTTGCCTTGGTGAACCCGGTCACGGGGATCTCGGAATTTCTGAGCTTCTCATGCTACGCTGTCCGGTGTGTGGGAGATGAGCTCCCCTTGTAGACCCGGTGCTTTGAGGAAGAGCCCTGTTCTGTCTTCGTGCTCTAACTTTGAGGAATGCTTACAGGAACGTTCTCAGCCCTCCCAGGCTTGTGGCTCGTGCACCCCAGTGCGCGGCCAGTCCCAGAGGTGACTGTACGTCCTCAGAAGTATTTCGAACCTAGACATAAGCCACGGCGTCGTCAGTTAGCCTGCAGCTGCAAACGGGAACAAGACCGTGCCCACTTACCGAGTGCTCCGTGTCATTTACGGCTCAGGGGCCTGCCGGCCAGCCTTCGGGAGGCATGGGTGACTGGCAGTGACCCCGGGGCTTGGAAGACAGCCCCCCTGCTGGGCCCTTTCTGCGCTCACAGGGACACCCACCAAAACATAGGGAGGGGTCCGAACCTTTACTTTTTCAGCCTAATTTTGCTTTTGGTTGTTCTTTGAGATCATGTAGCCTCCTTGGAGAAGAAACCCACTTCTGCTGCTTGATCTTGAAATCCCACGCCCTGACAGCTGACAGGTGAGGTGGGGGAGCTGCTGTCCCTCTGGGGCGTGCTGTGGTGTAGGGTGGGCTGGAGCAAGGATGGTGCCCCCGCGGCAAGGCCAGGACCCAAGGAAGCGGCTGCTGGGAACCTGCGCCCAGTGTCAATGGGACGGCACCACCGTGTGGGGCTGTTTCTCCGTAAATCAGTTTTTGGAAACCTCGTTGTGTGCTTTGTAATTGTTTCTTTTGGGACGTGATTCAGATGGAGGCCGGAGCCACGAGCAACGGGAGGTGGGGCTGAGGGCCAAAGGACAGGACTGGATCCCGGTGGGGTGAGGGGCCCCGGAGCCTCTCACACCTGTACCTGACAGCATTTTAAATTTCCTAGTTGTGGAATGAAGTGGTAAGTGATCCCCGGATCCCTCCCTCTGATCTGCTAAGTGTTCCCGTCACCGACCCAGTGCCCCTCGGGGACCCGGGGCCACAGTGGGGTTTCCTCAGGCTGAACTAAAGCGGAGTTTGCCTTTTCTGAAAACGGTAAGAACAGGACGCACGAGGGCGGGGGCTGTGCTTTGTGTGCACACAGCTGGGGGTCTGGTTCGGGGTTTTCTGTTTGTAAAGGTAATATCCTTGTAAAGAAACGCAAGAATTTTTTTTTTTTTTTATTTGACAGAGATCACAAGCAGGCAGAGAAGCAGGCAGAGAGGGGGAAGCAGGCTCCCCACCGAGCGGAGAAACCGATGCGGGGCTCGATCCCAGGATCCTGGGATCATGACCTAGGCCGAAGGCAGAGGCTTAACCCACTGAACCACCCAGGTGCCCCAAGAAATGCGGGAACTTAATACAGGCAGTAAAAGTACCTTATGCTCCTGTTCACGGGCGGGAGGATTCCCCTCTTCTGTCTGGGCGGTGGCTTTGCCCCTCAGCTCCCCTGGAGGAAGGCTGCCTGGTCCTTCCCCTGGGGGAGGCTGTGCTGGGCAGGGCCCTGGCCCAGCTCCCCGTGCGTCCTGCAGGCCCCTGGGCCCCCTCTTGCGGCTTTCTGCAGCCTGGCCTCTGGTGGGGATTTAGGTCACTGCATACGACCCCAGCCAGCACGAACTGAGTGCTGGAAGGGTGCCTTCCCAGCACCTGATTTTTGGGAACATATGGCTGCAGGGGACGGTCTCTCTGCTCACGTTGAGGGCGACACCTACAGTCCCTCCCCACACCTGCCCTTCTGTAGATGCCCAGCCCTGGGATGAACAGGAGCTTCTTGGGGAGCAGAGCAGAGGGCAGGAGGTCGTGGACTGCTAGGACAAACGTGGGGAGTGCTAGAGGGAGGCCTGAGAAGTAACCCAGTCCGTGTTCCCTCCCCAGATGGTCCTGCTCTCCCCAGCAGGCACATGCCTGTGGCCCAGGCCCAGCCACAGACCCAGGATCTTTATGGGGACCAGCCCCCACTGTTGGCTCAGCCCCTCATGACCCCTGGGGCTTTGTCCCCAGCCCCGGCTGCTTATTTGGAGTCTTCTCTACTGGGCACTGAGTCTCTGTGTGTGGGGCCATCCCATGCTGTAGGGCACTGAGCATCATTCCTGGTCTTCTGATCGTGGCAACCCAAATAGTCTGCCGACATGGCCAGTGTCCCCTGTGGGTCGTCACCTTGTGGAGGTCAGTACCTGCACGTCATGCCCCAAACGCGGTGCCGCACGTTGTGGACACAGCAGTGAACAACCAGTGGGGTCTTTGTCCTGCACAGATCACAGCACAAAATGTCCCCAAATGGGAATGGTGGCCTCCTGTGCACACTTGTGGGCACCCTCAAGTGTGGTCTATCCCCAGTGCAGTGGGAGGTCAAGGCCAATGTGGACACGGGTGCACTTGGACCTGTGGTACCTAGCTCAGGCGATGCTTGGGCCAGCATCTGCAGGGCCATGGCGGTGGGTGAGGTGCTATGTCCTCACCGGTCTCCCTCAACCCAGGAGGGGCATCACTCCCAGACCCTCAGCAGGGGCCCAGGCGCTGCATTTGTCTGTCTGTGCTTCAGACTGTGGGCTCCTCCCAGGTCCAGCACTGCCTTCCCCGGCACACTGGCCCTGGCGCCCGGTGGTCAGGAGGAGGTGAGGTCCATGTGTTAGAAGTAGTGCCGCCGGCCACTTGGACCGACAGGCTGGCCCCCTGTGGGGCGGCCGGCTGGGAGAGGGAGATGCCTGCCCGGGGCCGTGGGATGCTGAGCCCCGGCCCCAGGGGAGAGGGTTTGAGTACCGGAAGCTTCCGAACCGCCCCCCCCCCCCCAGGGTTCTGATGCTGCTGCGTGGTGGCCTGCCTGTGGCTGTCCTTCATGTAACCATCCTCTCCTTTCCCAGCATCTTTCGGGAAGGGATGCAGAGGAACGTGGCTTTCAACAAAAGCCGTCCCTAGCTGTTGGGTGAGAAGCGGTTGAGCTGTCCTTTTGTTTCTTGGTTAGACTGTTACAGCGTATGTGAATGTGCCACGTGTACACGTCTTTCGTGTGTGTGCGTACGGCTGTGAACAAGCCCCCAGTCGGGACACAGGGCCTCCCATCCCCTTCAGAGTCCCCGGTGCTTCCCCTTCACAGCCGGCACCCTGCCCTGCAGCCCCGGCCCCGCAGCTTTGCCTTTCTCAGGAAGTTGGGTTTCCAGAAGACAGCACGACGGCGAGGGGCGCTTGTCAGCCTTTTTCTATTATCCTCTCCCTCCAAGGAGCCTTTCTAGACGTTTTTTTCCTAATACTCCCCAAGACATTTTCACTTGGATAGGCCGTGTGAATGTGTGGGTCTACATACGTGCACTTGTGCGCACACCCAAACAGGCTCAGACGGCCGTGTCCTGCAGGCAGGGAGGGAGGCTGGGGCTCTAACTGGGAGCCCCCAGGAGTCCCGACCGCCAAACTGAGAAGTGACTTCTGGTGAGAAGGTGGAGGTGGGAGGTGCCCCAGAGGCTGTCACGAGGGTTCAGGTTAGAACTGGCATGGCCTGGGCAGCGACCAGAGTCTGGATGAGGAGTCGTGGACAGTGGGATGTGGGCCTTGGGGAATGGGACTGGAGAACGGGGGTGCAGATAGGATTCCACTCTTGTCTGAGTGTGCTACTCGGCCAGATGCGGTCTCAGGGGTCCCACCTGCTAGTGACTTGTCTCTGGGGCTCAGCTCACCAGAGCCCCTGTGACCACTTGGTGGACAGCAGGAGCCCAGATGCTGGCTCAGGGCTCCTGCCAACCCCGACTGAGGGTCCAGGCAGCAGAGGAGGGGAGCCCTGAGCCCTGCAGTGGATGGGCTGGTCAGCCCTTCTGCAGACTCGTTCACAGGGTGGCTGCTGAGCACCCCCAAGGACCATGTTCCGTCCTCTCCTCAGGCTCCCTCCAGGACTCAGGCTGGGGACAGGCTGTGGAGCCCGGGTGAACGGCCCTCCTCACCACGGAGCCTTACTGCCCCTGCCTCTAACATTCCACAGTTCTGCTGGGAGGCAGGCTCCCACAGGGCGCCAAGGATGCGGGGAGACATGGTGTGGAGCTACGGCACCGAGCCCCTCTCCTAGAGGATCCTTCAGGGATTTCATGGAAAGCATTACGATGTGAGTCCTTGGTGCGGGGGTGAGACAGTGACAGCTGTCTGCAAATGAACACACTCTCCCTGAGCCTAGGTCTCTGGTGCGGCCTTCGTCCCTTTCCTGGGACTTTGATGATGGTAAGGATGGTGGTGGTGCCGTGTCCCCTGGCAGAGCACAGGACATGGTGAAGGAGAAGGAAAGGGAGCCCGTGTTCCACAGCACATTGAGGACAGAGTTCTAGAATGTCACGGTTGCAGAGGCTGGGGGAACAAGCGGGGACAGCAGCGCCTGCAATCCCACAAGGAAAGGTAAGGGTTTAGGGCAGCCACCTTGCGCAGCGGGCACCAGTCACATACGTAGGGCCCCAGTCAGAGTGAAAAAGGGAGTCCTGGATCCTGGGGCTGTTAATACACTACCCAAGTCGGTGGCCCCTGGCGTGACTGTGACTCAGACTGGACTGATAAGGGATATTTCAAAGAGACCCCAAAGGGCCCCCGGTGAGGGACATGAGTGTACATCAGGAATGTAACTTTGAGCCCCATGCTGGGTGTAGAGATTACTTAGAAAGTTTCAAAAAAAAAATTTAAATCCCATTTTTACCAAACCCACAGGATTTAGCATTGGAGAGCTCCCCTGTGCCTGTCATGGGTCCATCAGGCAAGGTCGCTGTGTGGTCACAAACCCCACAGCGGCCCCACCTGCAGCACAGGAGCTCAGATACTTGTTCTAGGGGCATGAGTCCCTGGCACTCTCGGCCTGCTTCCAACTCCCAGTCGTCGCCGTTGGGCAGTCACGAGCAGACAGCCATAGCGTGTGAGTGCTGTGGGGCTAGGCGCATGCCCTGTGCTGGCTGTGCCCGCCTCAGCGGCCCACCACTTGTCTGTCCCCTCGAGCCAGGTCAGATGGTCCCCTCCGGTCTGCTGGTCCTCTGGTGCCAGGCCTCTGTGGGGCCCCTGCTAGCCCAGGTTGCTCCTGTGCAGGTCATACAAGGTGGCCTCTGGGAGCAGTGGCAGGGGACAGGCCCAGGGCAAGCCCCACTCATCATGCTTTCAGCCAGGGACCTTTGGTTGGTTCATGCACTGCACAAGTGCACCGCGGCTCTGGGACTCCGCAATCTCTGCTCCTCCTACCTGAGGGCTTTGGAAAAGAAAGCCCGACAGAAGCCTCTGGCAGCCACAGGCTCCTCTGGTCCCACGTCCCTCCTCTGAGGTGGTGGCAGTGAGCCAGCCCGCGCCTGGAGGAGGGAAAAGGAAAATACAGGGAAAAAGTAGGATCCGCCCACTCCAGTGATGACAGCTGACTTGCGCCGGGCAGTGTACTGTTTGCCAGGCAATCTGACCTCCAGCTTCCTGGGGCTTGGTCCCTGCTCATCAGTCTTCTACCGCTGGCCTCAGGCATGGAGAAGTGGGGTGACTCGCCTGGTACACACAGTGAGGGAGCGGCTGGCTGGGACTGGGGCCAGGCCCGTGTCACTCTGGTTACTCTGGACCCTCCAGGCAGGTGTGCTGTGCGGGAGGCACTGGGTTTCCGCCTGAGGGTCATTCACGTGGCGTCCTGTGCCTGCTTTGGGGTCTGGCTTCTCCGCACTGCCGTGTGCCCTTCATGCATGTGTCCGTTCCTCCGTGTGGAAACGCAGCCGACCTTCCTTCCATTCTTCCCAGCCCGAGCGGCCGACCTGGCAGGGGCTGCTGGCCTGTCCCTTCCGCTGCGCGGAGTGCGCCCTTCTCCAGGGTGTGCCTGGCCAGGAGCCCTGGGCCACGGGCACTCACGGGCTCTGAACACCAAGGAGCGGTCAGCCCGCACGGTGACACTGCTCCGGGGACCGCACTGGCGGTCCCGGCCGGCACGTCCGCGGTGAACCTGCTGTCCATTCGTCGGTCCTCCCGGCCATTCCCGGGGAGGGGACGTCAGCGTGCCCGAGCGTGCAGGGCGCGCGAGACTGTCCCGCTCCGCGGCCGCGTCCCGGGGGCTCCGACGCGGCGGCGACGATGGGAGCGCACTGCGAGGCCGGCACAGGCGGGCAGCACCCGTGGATCCCGGCCGCTGACGTGAACGGCGCAGGGCCGGGCGGACGTCGGCGGCGGTCGCCCACCCGTCCCCCGGGTCTCTCCGGGGGCCTCACCGGGACGGGCCGCGGCACCACAGCGCACACCGACACCCTTGCCCGCGCGCCCGCCCGCGTACCCGACGCGCGCACCGGGACCCCACAGCCGCGGCTCCCCGACAGGCGCGGACCCCGGGCTCCCCAGGCTCGCCCCGCCCGAGCTCCGGGGGCTGAGGCACGACGCGGGTCCAGACGCGGGGCGCGCGGCCGGATCCGAACTCGACGAATGCAACGGGCGGCTGCGGGGCGCCTCGCGGGAGGCGGTGGGGGCGTTCCCCGCGCGGGGGAGCGGCGTACGCTCCGCCCCAAGCCCTCCCCGTGACCCATCGACCCCGAGTCCCGCGCCGCCAGAGGCCAACCAGCCGCCAGATAAGGGCACATGCTTAGAAGGCAGCGCACGATTGGCTGAGCTCGGGGGGACCGAGCGGCGCCCCACGGCCGTCGGGCCGGAAGGGCGGGGCCTGAGGCGGCCGGCGGGCGGAAGGGCGGGGCCCTAGATGGGCGGTCCCCGTGAGCGTGCGTGCCCGTGCGTGCCCGTGCGTGCTCGTGCGTGCGCGCGCCGCTGGCGGGGAGGAGCCAGACGCGTGAGGGCCTGCTCGACTGTCGTCACTCGCCTCACGATGGTCACCACCGCCTCCTCCCCAGCGGCCCGGCCGGCGCCGCGGCGGGCACTTCCGGGAGCCCTCGGGTGTCCGTTGGGTCTGTCGGCACGCACTCCCCCGAGCGCGGCGCGGCGGGCAGGTGCGTCCCTGAGCCCCGCTCGCCGGGCCGTGGACGCCGCAGCCGGGGCGGCCCTAGCCGCGTACCCGGGCCCCGGTCACTCCCGCCCCCCGGTGGCCGGAGCGCGTAGGCAGGGCGGAGGGCACGCCCGCGCTGACGTAAGCACCCGACGGCCGCGTCGTGTTTCCCGACGGAGAACCCGGGAGGGGGGAGGGGCTTGAGGCTCGGGTGCGTCCCCCGGGCCGTGGTCAGGGACTGTCCGTCGGCGGCGCTTCCCCGGCGGGGAGGAGCCGCTGTTGCCCCGGGTTTGGCCCGAAGCCCCGGGATGAGTCCGTCCGGTTGACCGGTGCGCGCGCCGAGAGAGCCGGCGTCCGGCGGGGCTGGGGTCGGGCCGCGCTGACCGGTGGTCCGAGAGCCGCTGCCCCCCGCCCGGCCCGGCCCAGGCCGCGGGAAGCAAGCGGCCAGGGGGGGCGCGGCGCGGGGGACCCGAGAGCGCCGGGCCGCTGAGAGGGTTCGCGTTAGGAGCAGGGACGCGCCCCCGGCGGAGAGGCGCTTGCCGGTTCCCGGGTGCGCCCCGACCCCCGCCTTCTAGCAGCGCCCTGGGGCCTGTGCGTGGGCCGGTCTCTCGGCGCGGACCCTGCCCGGCGTGCCCCGGGGCCGGCGCAGGTGCCCGGGTGTGGGGGGCCGGCGCGAGCCCCTCCCTCCCTGCGGCGCGGCGACCCCACTGACCCGGGAGTCAGTTCGGCGGCGCTGGCCCAGGTCCTCACCCGGCAGCCTCCCCGCCCCCAGTACCCCGCACGGAGCCCAGAACTTTCTAAGCCTCGTGTCCTCGCTTTCCAGGGAGAGCCGGCCGCAGACCTTCGGGAAGGAGGCGTGCCCCGGACGGCCTTCGGTAAGGGCGGCAGGCTCTGGGCAGCCGCGGCCGGGAGCGTGGAGAGGGGTCCGCGGACAGCAGCTCGCGAGGACGGTCCCACCCGGGGGTCTGTTTCCCGGCGCGTGGGCTGGCCGCGTGATTCTGTGAGGGGCCGCCCGCCGCCTCCCCCAGCCCGGGGAGGACAACACCATCCCCGGCGCTCCTGCTCCGGGCATCCGCTTCTCCCTCCGACCCCGCAGGGGGTGACCCCGGGGCCCCTTCCTGCCCCTTCCTGCCGGTGGGCATGCCTGCGGAGGGCACGCGGCAAGGGTGTGGGGGCCGGTGTGCCTGGAGAGCGCTGCCGGCTGCCTGCTCCCCTGCAGCCGGTTGCAGTCCCCCAGCCCCGCTCCCGTAGTGCGGCAGGACGTGCGGGGTCTGCAGGCTCTGCCGCCGCAGCGGACTCCGGAGAGTGGACTCCGGAGAGGGAGCCGTGCTAGCCCGCGATTTCCCAGCTGCAGGCGGAGCTGGGGCCCCGTCGCCGGCCCTGGGCAGCCTGCCTCAGCCCTGGCTCTGCAGGCGTGGACCCCTGTTCCAGGGAGCTCCTTGGTGCGCGTCGCCCACGGGCAGCAGGTTTCACTCGGTCTTTTCTGTGTCTTGCCCAGATGTGTCCTGTCCCCTGCGCTGTCCCTCGAGAGCCCACCTGCTGTGAGTGCCAGGCCAAATTCGGGGGCTTCCTGCCGGTGCCCAGGGTCGAGGCGGCATTGCCTTACTGGGTCCCTTTGTCCCTGAGACCCCGAAAGCAGGTAGGTAATGTGGACCAGGGCTGCTTCATCTGAGTCCAGGGTGAACCTCAGGGGACCGGTCACCCCTCGAAATCATAGATGTTATATGAGCGATTTCTTAAGATTTCGGAGAGACAGTTTGTATGTTCTTTTTTTAAATGCAGATTTTTCCCAAGAATTAGGTGTGCGGACGTGTGGTAAGTGCTCGTGTGGAAGGTGCTCAGTCTGCTGAGTCCCGGCAGACGTCCACCGTGAGACCGCTGCTGCCGCTGAGCTGTCCTGAGAGGGTTCCCTGTGCCCCTTCGTGACTCCCCCCAGCCCTCCCTCCCCGGCGTCCCCGGGCGACCACGGATCTGTTTCCGGCACCGCAGATCAGTTTGCATTTCCTCGGGTTTTCTGTGGACGGAACTGTACAGCAGGTCCGCGGTGGCCTCGGTCACGCCACGTGACTGTTTCTGAGCTTCCTCCACGTGGTGGCCGCGTGGTGGCGGGTGGTGTCCATCCGATGACGGGACTGCCATGCGGCCTTTCATCCGGTGAAGGAAACGGGCACCGTCTCCACAAGTTCTGTCCGTCGCAAGCAGAGCTGCTGGGGACGCGTGTGTCCAGGTCTCCGTGCGAACGCGCCTTCTTCTCTCCGGGGCGCGCACCTCGGAGCGGACTTGTCGGACCGTGGGGCGGGCACGTGTTGAACCGTGCTCCGCGGTGGTTCTCATTGCACGTCCCCAGCTGCAGCATGTGAGGTGCCAGTTCCTCCGTGTCCTCGGAGACCCATGGCTGGTCCGTCTTGTCGGTTGTAGCCGACTTGATGGGTGTGTGTCTCGCTGTGGCTCTATTTTGTGTTTCCGTAGTCACTAGTGACACTGAGCGGTCCCTCCGTACGCTGTGGCATTTGCACGTCTTCCTTGGTATGTGTCTCTTCAGATGTTGTGCCCGTTTAGAGACATTTGGTTGGGGGCGCCTGGGGGACTCAGTGGGTTGAGCCTCTGCCTTCGGCTCAGGTCATGGTCTCAGGGTCCTGGGATCGAGCCCCGCGTCGGGCTCTCCGCTCAGCGGGGAGCCTGCTTCCCCCCCACCCCCCGGCCCATTTCTCTGCGTACTTGCGATCTCTGTCAAATAAATAAATCTTTAAAAAAAATTTGGTTGCTTGCTTTTCTTTTAAAGTTACGGAGTTTTAAGAGTTCTTTGTGTATCATGGGTGTGACAGCACCTCCTGTCGTACCCGCTTGCATGTTTGAAAGCTTCTCTCCGTGGTTCTGGCTTGTCCTTTCCTTCCGTGGCTGGCGTTTTGCACAGACCCTCAGTTTTAAACCGGCCGAGCCCACTTGATCAGTCTGACCCTTTTCCGGACCCTGCGTCGCCGTGTCCCGCGCAGCGCGGCGCTGGGACGTGCTGTGCGAGGATTCCTGAGACGTCCTAGCGTGAGCCGAGGCAGAAGGGTCCGGACGCGTTAGCGTCTACAGTCACGTTCCGGTCCCGGTCCACTTTGAGTTCGTTTTGTGTGCGGCTGGGGTGTGGGTTGAAGGTCCGTCGTTTCTGTCGTGGTGCCCGGTTGTGCCAGTGCCACACGCCGCCTCCACGGGCCGGCCCTTGCACCGTTGCCAGAAACGAGCCGTGCGTGTGGTCGCGGGTCTGTGTCTGGGACCCTGTTCGTCCGCTTCTTCGACCGCCTGCATGCCGTTGCGCCGTCTCCGCTGCGCGGCTTCACACGGGCCGGTGCCCTCCACTGCCGGTTCCCTTCAGGAGCTCATTCTGGTTTCCTTGCGTTTCCGTGTGCATTTTGGAGTCCGTCTGCCAGTTTCCACGGCAGCTGTCTTGGCTTGGAGTGTCCTCCCTGCTCCTGCTCCCCTGCACCCCAGTGCTCATTGTGTCCACGGGACGGCCACGTAGCGGGGCTACGGGCAGGACGGGTCTGCGCTCCCAGCGCCGTGCGTGCCGCGAAGAGCGTGCCCAGTGAGCACCATCGCTCGCTTGGTGCGGGGCGGAAGTGGCCCAGATGTGCCTGTCCCGTTGGGCACTTGTCGTGCTGGCAGGAGGTGGGGGTGGACAGTTTCCTGGGTTCTCCGGGACCTCTTTCATCTCCTCCTTCGGATGAGCTTTCCGCCCCTCGGCCCTCCCCTATGGGGCCCTGTGCTTTGCAGCCTGTCGCACGCCTGCTCTGGGCCACATCCCCTCCGCCTCGGGAAGTCAGCAGGGTCCGTCACAAGCAGGTTTTGTGGCCTTTCTGACATGAGACGTGAGCGCGTGGCGGGAACTTGACCATGGTTCGGGGGATACCCGACCTGTGCCTACCCTGAGGCTTCCCCGTGTGTCCTGGAGATGGGCTGTGCGTGTCTTCTTTCCCTAGGGACATGTAACACATTGCCCAGCTGCCTGCCTTCAGACTGCAGGCCCTGTCATCATGAGGGCCTCAGCTGGGTGGCCCGGCCCCCCCCTTTCCCTGATCTTGGGGCCACTGTGCAGGCTCAGACATTGTAGAGGCCCGTGTGGCCTCTTTGGCCAGACCTGGCTGCTATCACGTCCCCTTTGTCCATGGGCCAAACCAGTGCTTGGCCTAAGGAAAGTCCGGGGGTGGGCTCCACGCTGTCCTCCTGCCCGAAGGAGTGGGGATCACAGGGCAAAGGGCAGAGCTGTGGGGAGGGTACAGAACAGGCCAAGGCCGTGATCCCCCACAACCCATGCCCCAGAATCGTGGCAAGTAGATCTTCTGTACAGACTGCACACGGCAGCACGCTGCGCCGCAAGCTGTGTTCCCACGCCACGTCATGCCTCTGCATTCCTCGTGCCAGGGCAGACAGGTTTGCCTCGCCCTTTCCAGAGGCTGTCCCATTCCCTGCTGTCCCCGTGTCCCTCCCAGACAGGCCCCGGGCTCTCAGGCCACTGCGGCCGTGCCGCAGCTAGTGTAGTCACGAGCGTTGTTTGGCAGACGCTCGTGTGTCCCAGAGTGAGGTTGCTGGACCGGATGCTGTCCGTGATAGACCCTGACCCGTGTTTTTGGGAAAGTTTTGTAGCCAAGAACCCTGAGGCTCAGAGAGGCTAGATGTTGTGCTCAGGAGCCAGTCCTGGAGGCCTGCAGGCTTAGGACAGAGCCATGTCGCCTGCCTGCGATTCACATGTCCCACCATGGCAGCCATGCAGACCTCCCATGGCAGAGATGCAGGTGGCCCCTGGGAATGTCGTGGTGGGAGGCTTCTCTCTCAGCTGGGTGGTTGGGGTGGGCCTGTGCAAGGGCACAGAAGAAGAGCTCCCCAGGGCCCTGTCCCAGGGCGAAGATTTCTGGGGCACAATCCCTTTGGACCTTTTCTTCCTTCCCTCTTTGTTAGATCCAAAAGATGGTCCGGTTTTATATCCCCCAAACCTCCGAGACATGCCCCTGCTCATGCCACCGCTTTGGGGGCCGGCTCCCGATGCCTAGGGATCAGGCCGTGATGCCCTACTGGGTGCCCCAGATCCTGAGGCCTCACAAGAAGGTAAGAGGGAGGCTCACGGTAGCGAGGCCCCAGAGGGACCTGGAGATGGGTGGAGGGTGCTGGGTTCTTTCCCCGCAGGGGCATCCTCTGGTGTGTCTCCTGGAAGCACAGTGAGGGCAGTAGAGTGCAGGAGGTGGGCGTGTGCAGGGGAGGACCAGCTCGGTGTCCTGGGGGTGCCGGGAGGGTGGGTCGCACTGCTCTCTGGAGGGGTCCCTCATTGCTGTCTGCACTTTTAGTGCCATCTCTCCTGCCTCCTGCTCTTCCTTCTTCTGCTCCACCTCCCTCACCTTGCCTCAGTACCCTTTCCAGCCCTCTGGGCATCCCTGGAGGCAGAGGGCAGAGCCAAGAAGGACCAGCACTCTGAGTTACTATCTCGGGTTTTCTGCTCTGTCTGGCACTCCCAAGGCTCTGGGTTCCAGGGCAGTGACTACTGGGGTTGCTGGCCAGGTCCAGCCCTCCTCAGTCCCACGGCCCCTTCTCTCCCATGCTTTCTAGGTGTCCTGGGTGGTTGGGAGAGGCTTCCTTTCTGCCTTCACCCACTTATCGTTTGCTGGTTTTCTCATCAAGAAGCAAACTGTCCCCAGAATTAAGACTCAGAGGCACATTGGAAGGGGCCATGGCTTGTATTCTGAGCCGGCCACAGCTCTTTCCTGGTTTCCAGCCAGATCCCTGGGCCCACCTTTCTGTAGGCCACCAGGCCGGGCTGACACATCTGCCCCCGTTCTTCTCTTTCAGGTGGCGAGAAGGCAGCAGAGTCGTAAAGGCGCCCAAGGTACCCGAGCACACATGTCTCATCCCTCACTCCCCGAGGAAGGCGGGGTCTCATGGTGGGGACGGGGAGACTTCTCTCCTCCCCAGATGTCTGCAGATCAGAGATGGCCGTGTGGCACACAGACTGCGTCTTCACCTCCTTGTCTTACTAGGCGTCGCTAGCACCTCCCACGTTCCCGCAGTGAGCGAGAGAAGCCTTACGCTCTGACAGTCCGTCTGCGTCGGCCTCCGGGGTGAAGCCGATTTGCAGCCTGGAGTTCCATGGTGTCTGAAGTGTATTCTCTTTTAAGCTCGAATCTTGCATAGTTCGTGACATTGTGCGTGTGTGTGCGTGTCCAGTGTATACATACACACGCCTGCCGATGACCTAGTAAGTGTATTTGCTCACGGTCTGGTATGGATGCCTGCGCTGCAGGACGCGCTGCACATGATGACCGCGTACTGAGGCACTTGTCCGTTCTGCGGCACACACACACGTATTATTCGAGAGCTAGTGTGCATGCGTGCGCGCGTTTCCGGCAGTGGTAGTGCACATCTCACATCCGTGTGTGTGCTATAGCACACCTCTGCCACAAAGCGTGGTCGGAGAGGCACGTGTTTGTGAGCTGGTGTGTGCTCGTGCCCGCGCGTCAGCTTGAGGGATGACCTCTCCATCCCACCTTTGCTTTCTTTGTCTCTAAAACAAGTGGGTTGGATGGCTCTGGGAGGCCGTGTCCGGCGCCGATGGCCAACGTGGATGCTTCCTCTGTGTTGCGTGTGAGCCAGGGAGTGGGCATGCAGGGTGGTTTGGATCAGGTCCTTCCCTTGCCCGGCTGTTCCCATGCTCTGTGTGGTGAGCCCCTGTGCTGGAATCTGTGAGGGAGGGCATGGATGGACGCCGGGCTGGGACTGGGAGCTTGTGATGGGCGAGCAGTTTGGCCTCCCCAGAAGCCAGGAGCAGAGGCTGGTTGGGAGAGTGCCCAGGAAATGAGTGGCCACCAGCCAGCATGCCCACCTCTTACTGCTGCACAAACACATAATTTCCCGGGTCATAAGAGTCACACGATTAGGAGCAGTGCGGATGTACACGGCTTTTGTCGGGGCAGTTCAGAGGCATCTATAGAATTATTTTTTGAGCTGTGATTGCTATAGAATGTTATATTAGTTTCAGATGTACAGTGTAATGTTTGATACTTACTTTTGATACATTTTTGTGAAATGACCAGCACGGTAAGTCTGGTTAACATCTGTCACCTCATATAGTTACAAATTTTTTTTCTCGTGATGAGAACTTTTAAGACCTACTCTGTTCACAACTTTGAGAAATCCAATATGCTATTATTAACTCTGGTCACCGTGCTGTACCTTAGAGTCCCAGGACGTATTTATTTTTTAACTGGAAGATTGTGTCTTTTGACCACTTCACCCATCTCTCCCATCTTTCAGTTTTTGTAACACGCGTCGCCTTTACTCCAGCAAGCCCTTGTCAGGGTGACGTCTGGTAGACACTCCGACGTGCATGTCTGTCTACAGCAGTGGTGTCCTTGGCAAGGTGTCCGAAGCAGCTGAAACGTGTCCCGGGGGAGGATGGACGTACGTGAGTGTGTGTATGAGATGTGGCACCTGCCGTGGAGAGCTCGCGGCCCTCAGGAGCGACGGGAGGGAGCCCCAGACACACTGCGGCGAGGAGAGATAAGCTGCTGCTGGCTGCGGAGCTGGCCCCCACTCCCGTGGCCCCGAAAAGCTGAAGCCCCGTGTGGATGTGGATGCGGGCTGGGGGTGTGTGTCTGGGCTGACAGTCACGGTTACCGTGTGGGTGGGAGGACGGGAGTTCAGGAACCCACGAGCAAGGCGGGGGGCTGGATGAGCAGCAGGCCGATAGCAGCAGGCTGGCTCCGGTGTGGGGGAGCCAGAGTCCCTTTACGAGAGGAACCATGACGGGAGGACAAGAGCAGTTGGGAGAGACTGTTCTTTTAACTGTGTAGTCACACATTTACGGGTTATTTTTATTGGTGGTTTTTGGCTTTGAATACTCTGCATCTTTAGGAAAAGCTAAAAGCTCAGCTTATTGTTGAATCATGTGCACCAATTTGATACATTTTCATAAGCCGGTATTAACTTTTCTCCAGTCCTTGTTTAATAGCTCAGGCAGTTTTTACGAACGATGAGTCGAGCCCTCACCTGTTCAGGCCAGAAGGTGTTCCCGGGACAGGACTGAGAGCCCAGGCTTCACTGGCACCAGGACAAGTTAGGATTGGTCTCCCTTAAGCTTTGTATAGAGTGATTTAAAAATATGATTTAAGAAAAGCAATATAAAAATACTTTCCTTAGCTTCAAACCCAGATTATTTCCATTTTAAAGAGAAAAATCTGTTTTTCTCATCTTGTATTTTCTTTGTAAAGAGGGGGCTCATCTGCTCTTCTTCCCTATGTTTTTACGGTAGGATTAAGAAAATAGTGTATTTTATATCAAGCATGTTTTTACCCGTTAGTATAATTGGAGTAGTAACATGGTGTGTGACGTGACACAGCTTGTTGTGGTGTGTGTAATACATAAACATGGCGTGACTTGTAGTCTTAGCACATGAGTAGTGTGACGTCAGTAAGGTGTGGTATCGGAAGGCTCCCACGTTGACCAAAGCAGATCTCAAAGGCTCGTGTCAGGGAAGTGGAAACACTGGAATCCCGTTTGTGGTTGTGGTTTCCAGATACTCAAACCCCATGTTTCCATCACTAAGTTGTGCCCATTCACAGCTTCTTGCCAGTCTGTTTCATCTGAGCTGCATCCACTGGTTCCCTCCTCCAAAAACAAAACAGAAGATTAATGGGAAACACATCCCAGCTAAGTTCTGAATTCTCCCGTCTGTAACTGGGTCATCGTGTGGCTGTAAGGGATCGAGGCGCTGGCAGGAGCCCCACAGCCAGCCCAGAAATAAGTAAACAGCAGTGTTCTCTCCATCTGCATGGGTGTCGGTCGGTCCACACTCCCAGGGCTGGGGCCAGGCTTGCTGGGACACCTGGCAGCCTCACCCTGCGTTCTGGAGGCTTCTCCCGTGTGTGGTGTGCACGTGCGGCGCTCCACCCAGTCTGCCCAGGGCCTGACTTGCTTTCTCGCCTAGAACCCCCCCCGGACCTGCACTCCTGCTACAACCGCTGGCGGATCTGCTGCGACAGGCGCCTCCTCCTCAAGTGGCAACAGCTCCAGGCTCTTCACCAGCACGAGCCACTGGCCCCAGAGAGGGGAGTGAGCCCCCCGGCCCCCTTCCTGCCCTTCAGCCTCCTCACTCTCCTGCAGGTGGTCCTGAGGGTCGTGGTGGCGATTCGGTGAGCAGGCATGGGGTGGGGGCACTGGCGGCCCTGGGCCCACCTCACTCCCCAGGCTGTTTCAGTCGGGGGCTGGGGGCTTAGTTGAGTCCGGGATGTGGGAGAAGTTGGCTGTGGCTGAAGGAAGGGTGAGGAGTGGCTGCGGCGCGCTCAGCATCCGGAGTTCTCACACCTTCCACAGGGGTCTCGCCCCCACACACTCCGCGTGTGAGTGGTGCAGGCACGTCCGAGCTGACGGGGGGGCCCTGGGCATCTCGGCGCTGCCCGACTTTCTTTCGTCCACTCATCCCTGTGGCCTGGCACTGCTTCCAGTTTGCACTCGTTTCCGTCACGTCGAGGTTGAAGGTGGCTGTTGGAGGCCGCTCGCCCAGCCAGCCCGCTGGGGAATAAGCACAGCTTCAGGCCTGGGGACTGCGGCCGCTCCCCTTGCCCGTTCTCAGCCATCAAGGCTCCATTTTGGGAAGGCCTTGCCCCAGCCTCGACCCCAGAAGCCTCACTCGAGGGCAGGCAGGGCTGCTTTGTTCGGTCTCCTGCCCGGGCTCTCCCATCACACCTGTGCAGGGACGTGCAGATACACGAGTGTATGTGGGTAGAGGATGTGCACCACTGCATCAGCGTGTAAATGCACACAGGTCGGATTTATATGTATTGATTTACTTGCTTAATTGTCTGTCTTCGTGTCATTGTAAGAGGAGTCTTCTAGAAGGTGTCCAGTGTCTGAAAATGGTCGTAGGTGTCCTGTCCATTGTCCCCGTTGCTGCTGTTCACAGCAGGGGTTAGCTCTGTCTTTGTCTCTCGTCCTGGCCGGAAGCAGAAGGCCCCCGCACCCTGCTTGTCTGCTCTCCCGGTGTTGTCTCTAACCCCTGTGATGACAAACGGTGTCCCAGGGCACGTCTGTGTGCAGGTGCCTGTCTGTGGCATGAGCTCTCGGGAAGAGGCCGGGGCCGGGGGCCAGCAGCTTCGGGTGGTCCGCGCGCGTGAGCAGGCTCGTGTGCCTTCTTTGCTGTGCGTGAAGATTCATCCTGTGTGTGTGTGTTTGCTGCCTTGAGTCGGGCTCCCTGCGTGCACTCTGGGAGGAGCAAAGAGGGACTCTCGACTGCAGATGATACATGAGGGAGACGGTCAGGGCAGGCCAACGGGACAGTGCTGATGAGCGCAGGGGAGGCGTTTGCCTCAGAGCCAGGCGCCTTGGGCCGAGCCACAGGTGCCGGCTGGATGTTCAGGACAACTCTCTTGTCTGGCTAGGGTGTCTGCAGCGTGCCCTGTGAGATTCCCCCAAACCACACACCAGCTTATCTCAGGAGAAGTTGCCAGCTGCCTGCAGGCTGGCCTGGCAGAGGGTTAGGACTGTGAAGGCCTCGGGAGGGGAGGTGAGCTCCAAACCTTCCCAGCAGGGACTCTTGGAGGGCTGAGACTGTCACACTTGCCTTCTCGATGGGGCCCGCCGCCACCTCGCATCGCGTCCCTTTCACAGCTGCGGAAGGTGCAAGGCCGGGACTCTCCTTCCTGCCCCGAGGGGGAGAGTGGGCTCTGGGGGCGGAGTGCCCCATCAGAGAACCCATGGCTGGAGGTGGCATCGCTTCCCTGTACCCTTTTCCTGCCTGGGCTCCTCAGGGACTCAGACGGCATCCCCCTCTGCTGTGGGGGTCCCCCGCCTTCCAACCCGGGAGGCTCCCTGCCAGGTCCTGCCCAGGTGGCGTGGGCTCGGCGTGGGGCCCCGTTCCGAGTAACTGCCTTTCTCTTTGCTTTCCAGCCACTTGTTTTGGTTTTGAAGTTGGAATCTTCAGCCACTGCCGAGAACATCAGCGAAAATGTCAGTCATAATGAAGGTCTTTAACGAGAACGTCAAGTCAGGAGGAGTCCGTGATAGCCCCATTCTCTCAGGTCCTATAAGTCACACCGGGGCTGGGTCCAGGCTCTCAGCAGGCAGTGCTCTGTGGCGGCGCAGCTGCTGTGGACGCAGGGGAGACTCCGGCGAACGCGGCCAATAAACGTTATTTGTGAAACTCCGGAGTGGCCCCTGATTGAACGCTGACACTGGTTCCTCTCTGTGGAGCGGGCCGTGTTCTCCAGCCTGGTGTCACGCTCTCTTCCCTCTGCCCAGGTTGGCGGGGACAGCAGGCCCACCGGTGACGGGCCGGAGGTCGTGTTGGCCCCTGTGTCAGGAGGCGCTCACCTTAGTAAGTCGCGTGAAATTGTGTGACTTGATGTTTTTTAAACTGAGGTGTCATTTACATCATAAAATTCACCTTTTTGCAGCATATGGTTCAGTGGATTTTGGTGTGTTTACGTGGCGGTGCAGCCCTCCCCCTGCTGTCTCAGTCCAGACCCGTGTGGTCACCCCAAAAAGAGACCTGTCCCATTTCAGTCCTTCCCTGGTTGCCCAGCGCCTGGCAGCCGCTCACCTGCTCCCTGACGTTTCCCGCGCAGTCCTGCGGCAGGGGGTTGCCTGCGTCTGGCGCCTCTCCGCGTGGGGTAGCCCGTGTGAGCGCCGCGCTCCTTGCTGTGTGTGTACACGGCAGCTTGCGGGACCTTTGGTTTCCGCCTGTCGCCTCCCGGTGACTAGTGTTGCTTCTGTGAGGACGTGTTCCTGTTCCTCTCGGGTCTGCGCCCGTGCGTGCGGGGGCGCAGGGGGGCCGCCGACTGTCGCGCAGCACGCTCCGTTCTCCACAGTGGAAGGCTGTGCCGGTTCACGTATGTGTTCCTTCCCCCCTGGGCAGGCCGGTTTGGGTGTCCCCACATCCTCGCCGACGCTTGCTAGCCCTGTTTGGATGATAGCCGTCCTTGTGAGTGTGGAGCCGTGGCTCATTACGGTTCTGCTTTGCGTTCCCCTGATGGCCAGTGACCTCGAGTGTCCGTCCGCGCGCTCACCAGCCATTTGCGCGTCCTCCCGGCAGAGCTCTTTGTTGCGACTCGTCGTCTCTGTTTTAAGCGGATCATCCGTTTTCGTTGTTGCTGAGTCTGTTCTGGCTGTGTTCTGGGTCTAGGTCCTTATCAGATGTGTCATTTGCAAGCCTGTCCCTGTAGGTGGTTTTCCTCTTGACGCTGATGACCTTCAGAGTACAGAAATTTTTGATTTCAATGAAATCCAGTTTTCTGTATTTTTCTTGGCTTGCTGTTTTTTCTTAGGTTAGATGGTCGTGTCTCAAACTGTTGCCTAGTCCAGTGTCACACAGATTTACCTAAGTTTTCTTTCTCTCTTTTTATAGATTTTATTCATTTGGGACCGAGAAGCGAGCACAAGTGGGGTAAGCGGCAGGCAGAGGGAGAGGGAGAAGCAGGCTCCCGACGGAGCAGGGAGCCCGACGTGGGCTCGATCCTAGGGCCCCGGGAGCATGAGCTGAGCTAAAGGCATTCTCCCAACCAACCGAGTTACCCAGGTGCCCCTGCCTATGTTTTCTCCTGAGAGATTTATAGTTTAGCTCATACTTTTGGGGCCCGGATCTATTTCGAGTTAGTTTTGTAACTTTTGTATGTAGCCTGAGGTACCTGTGTGTGGCTTTCTTTTGTGAGTAGATGCCCGTTCCACATAACGCTTTTGAAACCGTCAAATTACAGAAATGGAGAATGGACTAGTGGTTACCAGAGGTTTGGGGTGGAGGCGGGTGGGGGGTGGAGGGAAGCAGGATCCGCCATCCAAGGACAACGTGAGGCATTCTGTGCTGACGGAAACATCTGTATCTTGGCTTTACTGGTGTTCTGGTTGTGAGACGATGCTACAGTGTTGCAAGATGTTACCAGTTGGGACGAAGTGGATGAGAATAACATGGGGACTCTCTTGTGTTCTTCCTGTAAGTCACTGTGAATCCAGGATGACCTCAAAATAAAAGTTCAATTAAAAAAGGAGTACAGTTCTCTTTGGAAGATTTTGAGAACACAGAAGAGTACAGAGAAGAAAGTAGAAACCGCTGAACCTCCCCTCACCCCTGACCCTGAGTTGACTCTGCTGCTGCCGTGGCAGGAAGGGCTGGACGGATTCCCGCAGGCACTAGACTGGGTAGAATGTGTGAATCACGGCAGCCGCGGTAGAGGCGGGAAGAGGACAGAGGAGGGGCTCTAGGGCGGGGAGGGCGGAGGAAGACGAGGCTGCCTTGGGCCTGGGGCTGGCCCTGTGGGGCATTCGAGTGGGTGGTCCTGGGAAGCCTCCAGGCTTCCCTTGAGGGCATAGTGGTGTTGTGGGCCCATCTGGCCTAAGGGCAACACGGGGCGTCGTGCGTCCACGCAGCAGATGTTTATTGGTGCGTACTGTGGGTCAGGCAGCCGCGGGTGAACGCCGGACGTGCCCCCGGGCTGACAGTTACTGTAACACGGGGAGAGTTGGATGGTGAGTGAAATACACACGAGTGCTCTTGACCTCCTGTTCACATGCATTTCCGTGGTGCCCCACGGACCAGCAGGCCCTGATTGGGTGTTCTTTGGCTGCAGGGACAGACCCCCTGTGCTAGGGAGTGACGTCCCTGGGGCAGCCCTCAGCCATGACGGGTGGGAGCTGTGGGTAAACAGCCAGCCTCCTCCTAGATGGGAAGCTCCGGGCTCTGCTCGTCTCTGTCTCCTGGAGCTCCGGGCAGGACGGAACCCCGCTGCCCTCCGTGCTCACGTTGGTAATGCCCTCTGTCCTGGCTGCTGGCCCGCCCTGGCTCACCTCCCCGTTCCTTCACAGGCCTCCCTGCCCACCTGTCGGTAAAGCACTCACAGTCAGCCGTGGCCTCAGGCTCTGCTTTTGCGGGGAAACGAATATAAGACAAGGCCTGTGGACCTGGTCCTGAGGTCAGGGGAGGTTCCTGGGGGACGGCGGTCTGAGCTGAGACTTGACGGTGCGTCCTGTCACTCTGGTGATGAAGGCTGAGGACAGAGTGTGCAGGCGAGGGGCACCACGTGAAGGCCTGCCCAGGACAGCCTGGAGCATTCTGTCTGCAGCTTAGGAGGGGCAGCGGCAGGAGGTGGTACAGACCACACTACGGGAGGCAGTGGCTGTTTTTCAGAGATCCCAAGTGTGTCAGACTTGTGTTCGGGAGAAACTACGCTGGCTGAAGCAAGTTGAATGGGGGCCTGCCTGGAGGCAGCAGCAGAGACACTGGGGTGGGAGTGCCCGGCCCGCCATGGAGGTGGTGGTGGTTTTGTTCTCCGTGTAGACGACGCGAACCCTTCCAGACACACTCCGGGGAGTCACACGTGCTTGTTGTTAAGGCAGTGACACTGCGGTGGGCTGGCCCAGCCCTGGCTCTCCTGCCTGCCTGTTGTCCTGAAGCGTGACGTGAGGAGCCACGAGAGGGCACAAGAGTCTCTCGTCTGGAAAGTGCTTAGAGAAGCTGGAGAAGCTGGGAGGTCAGGAGGGATGGCACAGCCTTGTCAGGCGCTCCCTCCCCTGCTGACGGCTTTCTCCAGGCCAGGCCCTGCCACCTTCCAGGCGGAATGTATTCCACGGAGTTTGAGGAGTTTTGAGAAAAACGCTTCTGTGGTCCTGGAGCCTCCCGCTCAGTCAGGGAGCCCAGAGAAACAGCTCCCCTGCCTCTCCCTCTCCCTCTCCGTTAGCTCTCCTCTCCTGCCTCCCCCTCCCTAATGCCTTCCCTCTCCCTTTCTCCCAGCACCCTCCCCTTTGCCTCCCCCCTCTCCTAGCCCCCCTCTGCTGCTTCCCCCCCAATGCCTCCCTTCTCTCTCCTAGCCGCCTCCCTGCTGCCTCCCCCTTTCTCCCAGCATCCCCTGTTCCCATTTTCTGCCTATCCCTTCCCCTCCCTAATGCCTCCCCCCACCTTGCCCCTTCCCTGCTGCCTCCCCCTCTCTCCCAGCATCCCCCCACCTTCCCCCCCTCCCCTAGTCTCCTCCCACCCCTCTCTCCCACTACTCTCTCTCTTAGTCCCTCACCCCCTTACACCACTGGCTCCTCTTCTCCTCATCATCTTTTCCATCTCTGTCTCATACCCCTTACGGAGCAGTTACCATGCAGCCCGGTCCCGTCTAGTAGAACATGTTGCAGTGACAGCATGAGCCAGATGTGTGCTGTTCCGTGCGGCAGCCCGCAAGCCACATGTGGCTGTTGAACCTTGAGATACGGTCCCTGCAACTGAATCATAGTTTAGCTTAATTCACTTCAATTTAACTTTTTTTTTTTTTTAAGATTTTATTTATTTATTTGACAGACAGAGATCACAAGCAGGCAGAGAGGCAGGCAGAGAGAGAGAGGGGGAAGCAGGCTCCCCGCGGAGCAGAGAACCCGATGTGGGGCTCGATCCCAGGACCCTGAGACCATGACCTGAGCCGAAGGCAGAGGCTTTAACTCACTGAGCCACCCAGGAGCCCCTCAATTTAACTTTAAATAGCCCTGTGTGACTAGCAGTTAGCAAGTTGGACAGCACAGATGGGGCCCTGTGACTGCTGCCTTTGCCCTGTCCTAAGGCTTCATGGCCTTCTAGAATGTTACCCGAGCCTGGTTACAGCATTTCCTGTAGATATGCTGGTCTGCTGCTCACTTCCTAAATGTTGTTACTGCTCTGAGGGTAAGGGCAGCAGGCTTCCCGGACCCCCATTTCCCCCTCAGGTGCTTGGTTGCTCCCAGGCGTGCTAAAGGCTCCTTGTGGCCTGCCAGGTGGAGCGAGCACTCACCCCTGGTACAGGTGTGGAGACCCAGGCCGTGAGCGAGAGGTGATCTGCTGCCCCGCCCAGGCCACACAGAGCCAGGCCAGCTCCTGGGGACCTCTGTGGCCTGGAGGTTGTTCCAAACGGGGATGGTATCTCTGCTTTTTTGGGAAGAAGCCTGTCTGCTGTCCACCTGGAGACCAAGGAGAGCCAGCCACAGAGAATCCGTCCTTGGGCAAAATTAAGCTGGGGCATGTGGCCAGCCTCCGCTGTGCCTGCAAGCGCTCCGTCCGAGCGACCGTGACGTGGCGGTGCAGCTCAGTGTTTATCCTGAGGGACATCGCCCCCTTCTGAGGCTCTGGCCCCGTCCTCATCCCCATTGCAGGCCTCGTCCCAGCCTGGTGATGGGCACTGGGGGACAACATGCCTTCCAGTAC